CTTGGATAGCAGCACAGCGATAGGTGTTGTACTTGGATAGCAGCACAGCGATAGGTGTTGTACTTGGATAGCAGCACAGCGATAGGTGTTGTACTTGGATAGCAGCACAGCGATAGGTGTTGTACTTGGATAGCAGCACAGCGATAGGTGTTGTACTTGGATAGCAGCACAGCGATAGGTGTTGTACTTGGATAGCAGCACAGCGATAGGTGTTGTACTTGGATAGCAGCACAGCGATAGGTGTTGTACTTGGATAGCAGCACAGCGATAGGTGTTGTACTTGGATAGCAGCACAGCGATAGGTGTTGTACTTGGATAGCAGCACAGCGATAGGTGTTGTACTTGGATAGCAGCACAGCGATAGGTGTTGTACTTGGATAGCAGCACAGCGATAGGTGTTGTACTTGGATAGCAGCACAGCGATAGGTGTTGTACTTGGATAGCAGCACAGCGATAGGTGTTGTACTTGGATAGCAGCACAGCGATAGGTGTTGTACTTGGATAGCAGCACAGCGATAGGTGTTGTACTTGGATAGCAGCACAGCGATAGGTGTTGTACTTGGATAGCAGCACAGCGATAGGTGTTGTACTTGGATAGCAGCACAGCGATAGGTGTTGTACTTGGATAGCAGCACAGCGATAGGTGTTGTACTTGGATAGCAGCACAGCGATAGGTGTTGTACTTGGATAGCAGCACAGCGATAGGTGTTGTGCTTGGATAGCAGCACAGCGATAGGTGTTGTGCTTGGATAGCAGCACAGCGATAGGTGTTGTGCTTGGATAGCAGCACAGCGATAGGTGTTGTGCTTGGATAGCAGCACAGCGATAGGTGTTGTACTTGGATAGCAGCACAGCGATAGGTGTTGTACTTGGATAGCAGCACAGCGATAGGTGTTGTACTTGGATAGCAGCACAGCGATAGGTGTTGTACTTGGATAGCAGCACAGCGATAGGTGTTGTACTTGGATAGCAGCACAGCGATAGGTGTTGTACTTGGATAGCAGCACAGCGATAGGTGTTGTACTTGGATAGCAGCACAGCGATAGGTGTTGTACTTGGATAGCAGCACAGCGATAGGTGTTGTACTTGGATAGCAGCACAGCGATAGGTGTTGTACTTGGATAGCAGCACAGCGATAGGTGTTGTACTTGGATAGCAGCACAGCGATAGGTGTTGTACTTGGATAGCAGCACAGCGATAGGTGTTGTACTTGGATAGCAGCACAGCGATAGGTGTTGTACTTGGATAGCAGCACAGCGATAGGTGTTGTACTTGGATAGCAGCACAGCGATAGGTGTTGTACTTGGATAGCAGCACAGCGATAGGTGTTGTACTTGGATAGCAGCACAGCGATAGGTGTTGTACTTGGATAGCAGCACAGCGATAGGTGTTGTACTTGGATAGCAGCACAGCGATAGGTGTTGTACTTGGATAGCAGCACAGCGATAGGTGTTGTACTTGGATAGCAGCACAGCGATAGGTGTTGTACTTGGATAGCAGCACAGCGATAGGTGTTGTACTTGGATAGCAGCACAGCGATAGGTGTTGTACTTGGATAGCAGCACAGCGATAGGTGTTGTACTTGGATAGCAGCACAGCGATAGGTGTTGTACTTGGATAGCAGCACAGCGATAGGTGTTGTACTTGGATAGCAGCACAGCGATAGGTGTTGTACTTGGATAGCAGCACAGCGATAGGTGTTGTACTTGGATAGCAGCACAGCGATAGGTGTTGTACTTGGATAGCAGCACAGCGATAGGTGTTGTACTTGGATAGCAGCACAGCGATAGGTGTTGTACTTGGATAGCAGCACAGCGATAGGTGTTGTACTTGGATAGCAGCACAGCGATAGGTGTTGTACTTGGATAGCAGCACAGCGATAGGTGTTGTACTTGGATAGCAGCACAGCGATAGGTGTTGTACTTGGATAGCAGCACAGCGATAGGTGTTGTACTTGGATAGCAGCACAGCGATAGGTGTTGTACTTGGATAGCAGCACAGCGATAGGTGTTGTACTTGGATAGCAGCACAGCGATAGGTGTTGTACTTGGATAGCAGCACAGCGATAGGTGTTGTACTTGGATAGCAGCACAGCGATAGGTGTTGTACTTGGATAGCAGCACAGCGATAGGTGTTGTACTTGGATAGCAGCACAGCGATAGGTGTTGTACTTGGATAGCAGCACAGCGATAGGTGTTGTACTTGGATAGCAGCACAGCGATAGGTGTTGTACTTGGATAGCAGCACAGCGATAGGTGTTGTACTTGGATAGCAGCACAGCGATAGGTGTTGTACTTGGATAGCAGCACAGCGATAGGTGTTGTACTTGGATAGCAGCACAGCGATAGGTGTTGTGCTTGGATAGCAGCACAGCGATAGGTGTTGTGCTTGGATAGCAGCACAGCGATAGGTGTTGTACTTGGATAGCAGCACAGCGATAGGTGTTGTACTTGGATAGCAGCACAGCGATAGGTGTTGTACTTGGATAGCAGCACAGCGATAGGTGTTGTACTTGGATAGCAGCACAGCGATAGGTGTTGTACTTGGATAGCAGCACAGCGATAGGTGTTGTACTTGGATAGCAGCACAGCGATAGGTGTTGTACTTGGATAGCAGCACAGCGATAGGTGTTGTACTTGGATAGCAGCACAGCGATAGGTGTTGTACTTGGATAGCAGCACAGCGATAGGTGTTGTACTTGGATAGCAGCACAGCGATAGGTGTTGTACTTGGATAGCAGCACAGCGATAGGTGTTGTACTTGGATAGCAGCACAGCGATAGGTGTTGTACTTGGATAGCAGCACAGCGATAGGTGTTGTACTTGGATAGCAGCACAGCGATAGGTGTTGTACTTGGATAGCAGCACAGCGATAGGTGTTGTACTTGGATAGCAGCACAGCGATAGGTGTTGTACTTGGATAGCAGCACAGCGATAGGTGTTGTACTTGGATAGCAGCACAGCGATAGGTGTTGTACTTGGATAGCAGCACAGCGATAGGTGTTGTACTTGGATAGCAGCACAGCGATAGGTGTTGTACTTGGATAGCAGCACAGCGATAGGTGTTGTACTTGGATAGCAGCACAGCGATAGGTGTTGTACTTGGATAGCAGCACAGCGATAGGTGTTGTACTTGGATAGCAGCACAGCGATAGGTGTTGTGCTTGGATAGCAGCACAGCGATAGGTGTTGTGCTTGGATAGCAGCACAGCGATAGGTGTTGTACTTGGATAGCAGCACAGCGATAGGTGTTGTACTTGGATAGCAGCACAGCGATAGGTGTTGTACTTGGATAGCAGCACAGCGATAGGTGTTGTACTTGGATAGCAGCACAGCGATAGGTGTTGTACTTGGATAGCAGCACAGCGATAGGTGTTGTACTTGGATAGCAGCACAGCGATAGGTGTTGTACTTGGATAGCAGCACAGCGATAGGTGTTGTACTTGGATAGCAGCACAGCGATAGGTGTTGTACTTGGATAGCAGCACAGCGATAGGTGTTGTACTTGGATAGCAGCACAGCGATAGGTGTTGTACTTGGATAGCAGCACAGCGATAGGTGTTGTACTTGGATAGCAGCACAGCGATAGGTGTTGTACTTGGATAGCAGCACAGCGATAGGTGTTGTACTTGGATAGCAGCACAGCGATAGGTGTTGTACTTGGATAGCAGCACAGCGATAGGTGTTGTACTTGGATAGCAGCACAGCGATAGGTGTTGTACTTGGATAGCAGCACAGCGATAGGTGTTGTACTTGGATAGCAGCACAGCGATAGGTGTTGTACTTGGATAGCAGCACAGCGATAGGTGTTGTACTTGGATAGCAGCACAGCGATAGGTGTTGTACTTGGATAGCAGCACAGCGATAGGTGTTGTACTTGGATAGCAGCACAGCGATAGGTGTTGTACTTGGATAGCAGCACAGCGATAGGTGTTGTACTTGGATAGCAGCACAGCGATAGGTGTTGTACTTGGATAGCAGCACAGCGATAGGTGTTGTACTTGGATAGCAGCACAGCGATAGGTGTTGTACTTGGATAGCAGCACAGCGATAGGTGTTGTACTTGGATAGCAGCACAGCGATAGGTGTTGTACTTGGATAGCAGCACAGCGATAGGTGTTGTACTTGGATAGCAGCACAGCGATAGGTGTTGTACTTGGATAGCAGCACAGCGATAGGTGTTGTACTTGGATAGCAGCACAGCGATAGGTGTTGTACTTGGATAGCAGCACAGCGATAGGTGTTGTACTTGGATAGCAGCACAGCGATAGGTGTTGTACTTGGATAGCAGCACAGCGATAGGTGTTGTACTTGGATAGCAGCACAGCGATAGGTGTTGTACTTGGATAGCAGCACAGCGATAGGTGTTGTACTTGGATAGCAGCACAGCGATAGGTGTTGTACTTGGATAGCAGCACAGCGATAGGTGTTGTACTTGGATAGCAGCACAGCGATAGGTGTTGTACTTGGATAGCAGCACAGCGATAGGTGTTGTGCTTGGATAGCAGCACAGCGATAGGTGTTGTACTTGGATAGCAGCACAGCGATAGGTGTTGTACTTGGATAGCAGCACAGCGATAGGTGTTGTACTTGGATAGCGAGCATAGATGGGGCCTCAATGGCCTTCCCATCGCACACGACAGCATGCGAGGAAACAGCACACCTGCACTTATAAGAAACCAACGCAATTGCAGTTCTGAAAATCCAACGCAATTGCAGTTCTGAAAATCCAACGCAATTGCAGTTCTGAAAATCAACGCAATTGCAGTTCTGAAAATCCAATGCAATTTGCAGATCTGAAAATCCAACGCAATTGCTGTTCTGAAAATCCAACGCAATTGCAGTTCTGAGAATCCAACGCAATTGCAGTTCTGAAAATCCAACGCAATTGCAGTTCTGAAAATCCAACGCAATTTGCAGTTCTGAAAATCCAACGCAATTGCAGTTCTGAAAATCCAACGCAATTGCAGTTCTGAAAATCCAACGCAATTGCAGAGCAGCTCAACCAGCCAACGCACCTGCAATAGCTCCTCGATTAAAACTTTCCGTCTCACGACCGCACACAGCTGCACACAACTGCACACAACCGCAGTTGGCCTTTTACGCACCTGCAGCAGCTCCTCAATCACGTCTTCCAGTGTGATAATCCCCACCACCTCCTCCGTCTCATCCCTCCTCTCCCACCTCCACCCTCCCACTGCCCCTTCCCTCTCCTGCTCTCTCCTCTGCCCCTCCGCCCTCCCACTCCCTCCATGGCCCTCCCTCCTCCCCGCCCTTGCCTTCCGCTCCTTGGTAGTATACACCACATCTATACTCTCCTCCTCCCCTGCTCCCCCCGCTGCTGCACCCCCTGCTCCGCACCCTGCCCACCCTCCTGCTCCGCCCCCTGTTAGCCCACCTGCTGCTGCTGCTCCTACCGCCCCCCCTGCTGCACCTGCTGCATGAGTACGAGATGCAGCGCCCACAGACAGGCCTGCACGAGTACCAGATGCAGCGCCCACAGACAGGCCTGCACGAGGCATGCCTGGGTGCTCCTGCCACTGCACACGCTTGGGTGCATGTGCCTCCGTGTGGATTAGTCCCAACCCTGCCTCTGCCACAGCAGGCGCGTGGGTATGCTCAAACCCAGCAGCAGCACCAGGAGCACCAGCGACCCCATGGGTGTGCTCGTATCCCGCACTGGCAGCAGCAGCAGCGAAGGCAGCAGCAGCGGAAGACCCTCCAGTCGCCAGAGCCGCTGTTTCTGCAGCCAGCAGCACAGGCGGGGGCGTCCTGGGGCGCTCAAACCGATAGTGCTGCTGCTGATGGTGAGACTCGTGCGGATGCTGATGGTAATGGCCAGGAGGAGGAGTGAGGGAGCGCTGCAAGGGTGAATCTCCAGTGGATGCTCCTCGGAACACAGTGCCTTGTGCGTGCCCCTGAGGGGGAGGCGTCCTGGGCTCCTGCTGCTGACTGTTCTGACTCCGTCCATACCCATACGCATTCCCACTCCCATACTCATACCCACCCCCATAGCCATAACCATGCTCGTGCAGGTCTTCTGAGTTGCGGCGGCTGTTGCCTCCCTGGCTGTGGGTCTCACAGTAGGTGGGGTCGTTGAAGAGTGCGTGCTGAGAGGACTCCGATGTGCTCGTGGGCATTGAGATCGTCAGCACATCTGCCTGCCCCACTTGCACTTCCCCTGCTTGCACCGCCCCCATACCCCCACCAGCAGCACCAGCAGAACCACCACCGGCGGCGGCGGCAGCAGCAGCAGCGGCAGCAGCGAGGGAAGCATGGGTGGGAGGGGGCGGGGTTTTCTTCTTGACGACCACGGCCATGTGCGAGCTGCCCTTTTGGAACTCGTTCAGCACACTGTACAGCGGCAAGCTCGCTGCCATCCTGGCAGCGCACAGGGAAGGAGGGGGGCGTCTCAGAAGGTTGTTGTTGTTGACGTTTTCTTTTTTTTTTTCTTCTTTTTTTTTACAAGTATCAGATGGCTATAAAGACGTCTCGAAAGTGGCCTACCTGGGGACGCGGCGGATGGAGATGGAGCTGACAGGGGTCTCATCCTCGGGGCGCACGGTGAGGAGCGTCTTGGTGAGTAGAACCCCGATTATGTTGCTGGGATGGCCCCGATACACCGGCACCCGGCTGTGGCCCCTTGCTAGAATGCGCCCCATCGTGTCCCTGCCACGCACACGCTCGGAAAAGGCATGGGCTTGAGTTGGAAGAGGCGTGATGGGGGCACATGGTTAGCTGAAAGACTTGAGCAACAAAGGAATAACCAGACCAGAAAAAGGAACGAGAGGTTTACAGAACTCACCTCAGCAGAGGCCATTAGCACACTAGGCAGCACAAAGATACTTGATTGGAAGATGGGTTGTAGACACGCTGGTTGGAACATATTTTGAGAACTTCCAAACGCTCGGGCTACGGCATTAGCCAGACGTGTTGGATCAAATCCGGGCCTACCAGTCAAGGCGCGAGTTGACGCTGAGAGAAAAGGTCGACTCTATGGGGGTCATTGCCTCCTCTGCTGTCTACAGCCACATGCAGGACAGGAGCATCATTACACAAGCAGAAGGGAGAGGAAAGGAAAGTTTTTAAGGGTGGCAAAGAGAAGCTAGTCTGCTTCACAATCATCTCCTTTGTGTTGATCACATTCAATTGAGGGTGCGAGCAGATTCAGGTTCTCTCTGTAAGGTCAACGCCTGCATTCCAAACTCTGCACTCTGCGCACCTCAGATTCACATTCTGCAGAGCGAACCTCCAGTCACCAACTCAGGTTCGGCTGATTGATTGTATGTAGGAGACCGCTGGCTGAAACTCACCTTCTGTGTGAGATCAAGAGCGCCACTGATGATGGTGGTCTCACTGCGAGTCAGCTCCCCTCCCATGCCCGCCTGGTGGTGACATGAGAGGTGGGGGACGGCCATGGGGAGGGGGGGATTGGCAACTGAGAGTGGAAATTTGAGACGTCCCAAACGTCGCTGTGAGTCAGATCGCCTCCCATGCCGCCTGGTGCATTGGGGGAGTGGGGGATTCGCCATGGGGAGTGGGGGATTCGCCATGGGGAGTGGGGCATTCGTGATAGGCATAGCATAGGGAGTGGGGCATTCGCCATGGAGAGTGGGGCATTCGTCATGAGATATGATATATGAGATATTCTCAACAGAGAGTGGAGACTTTGCAAGGTGGGGTACGGAAAAATAGCTTTAGGATGTGGGGAATGCGCAATTGGAGGTCACTAAAGAGGATTGGGGAACGAAAGGATGACTATAGGATGTGGGGAATCTGCAATTGGGTTGGGACGCACATGCATGGTAGGGAGGCGTTGCGAAGGAATGCAAGGGATTGGAGGGGTTGGAGCAAGGAGGAGGCGAGATGGGGAGAGGAAAAGGGATGGGGGGGAGGAAAAGGGATAGGGAGGGGCCATGAGACATGCAACGAGAGGAAGGGACAAGGACCCGTGGAGTGGAGGAATGTTGAGGACCCATGCCTATGCCCCATAGACGCGTGCAGCTGCCCCTGCTCGCCCACCCCAACTCTTACCCTTCTCGCACCCCACTCCTTTCCCTCACCCCACCTCTGCAACTGCTCGCCCCCCACCGCACCTCTGCACCGTGGATGCTGACGAGTGCCTTGAGCTGCTGGCGCCTGAAGAGCGGGTCATCGTGCCCCAGCAGATAGTCCAACACCTGGGGGGAGGGTGTGGGTGGGGGAAGTGGGGGGGTAGAGGTGGTATGGGTGGGTGGATCGTCATGCCCCATATCTCTTTGCCTGCTGGCTCCCCACCACACCTCTGTGCCTTGAGCTGCTGGCGCCAGTAGATAGTCCAGCACCTGGGGGGTGGTAGGGGGGGGGGAAGAGGGGGGGACGGGTGGGTATGAGGAGTGGTTTGTGCGTGTGGATGGGTGGGTGGGTGGGTGGGACATGCCCCAAGAGATAATCCAGCACCTGGGAGGGGAGGACGGGGGAAGTGAGAGGTCTGGTGGAGTGTGGGGCATGGGGTATGGGGTATGGGCCATGGGGTATGGGGTATGGAGCATGGGGTATGGGCCATAAGAATAATCCAGTACCTTCAGCAGTGGGAAAACATGTAGCTCAAAACAGTGGAGGGTCGCAAAACAGGAAGCTTCTGAGCAAGCGGGTGAGTGAAGAGAGAGGGGGGGCAGAGGCACCTTGGCGATGGGGAAGGCGATGGGCCAGCAGAGAAGCATGAGGCAGCGCACGAGGGGAATGAGATTGGCGCCCACTGCCAGCCCGTACCTCGAGCACACCGCTTGCGGAATCACCTGCGAGGGAGGATGGGATTCCGGTGGAGATGGAGGAAGGATGGATAAGGTCGTAAGGAGAGAGACTGTGTATAAGGCGAGGTGAAAACAGACGGATTCGGATGTCTGAGACGCACAGACACACAGGCACGCATTGTGCGTGGAAGGATTGATTCGGTAGTATTGTGCCGTCAACCTTGCAGAAACAAGTGTACTACGCATTCAACTCCCATGCTGCACTCGCCTCTCCTCCGCATGCTGCTGCGCTCACCTCACCAAAGAGCAGCACGAAGGAGACGGAGAGTGCAATGGCGACAGCTGGAGGGACCAGGCGGTCGAGAAACACCGGCAGGGCCTGCGATGGTGGGATGGTGCAATGATGTGAGGATGTGATGATTCGAGGAGTAACGGACATGCAGCAACGAGCGAATCTCCCAGAGTTCACGGAATGCAACCGAGAGCACAGATGCTCTGGAGGAAAGCAACTCTAATAAAGGAATTTGGCTGAATGGATCTCTTTTGGCTGACACGTGGCACTGGCAGCGCCGCACCACACTGCCTCCCTGACCGACCACAGCATCACCGAGCAGGCGAGGGAGTGCAACTCGTGACTCGAGCTTCACGCGTACCTCCATCGCGACGGCGTTGCAGAGAAGCAGCGTGACCAGCAGCTCGTGTTGTTTCTCCACTACAGGGATAATTGCCGCCGCCTGCCGCTGCTCGCCCGCCGTGCCGCTCTGAACCAGCACCTCCAAGTCTACGGGCTCAGCGACATGAGGCCGAGCGTCAGGCCCGCATTAGGCCCGCGAACAGACACCTGCTGTGAGTGACATCTAACCTGCTGTGCCGTGAGCCAACTCAGCACACGCCTTTTCAAGCTCACCTCCATCGCAACTGCGTTGCACAGCAGCAGCGTGACCAGCAGCTCGTGTTGTTTCTCCACTACAGGGATAATCGCGGCCGCCTGCCGCTGCTCGTCCGCCGTGCCGCTCTGCACCAGCACCTCCAAGTCCACGGGGCTCAGCGACATGAGGCCGAGCGTCAACCCGGACATTAGGCCCGCGAACACGACGAGAAACGCGGAGAGACCCGCGAAGAACCACCATTCCGCCTCGCTAATTGGCGGCTCGGAGAGAGTTAAGAGGCCGAGAAGGGGTTGGAAAGCCGTGAGAAGCATGGCGGCTGATGGTAACCGCTCGGATGGCGAATTTGGAATGTCGCCCGATGGAACTGGGCTTGCGCGAACGATTAGTGTTACGACGAACAACCAGCAAAGGGAGACATGGTTACAGGTGGAGAATTCGGAGCCTAGGAAGCTGGCGAATAATGTGCTTTGCTAGAAGGACGGAGAGCCGACGGGACGTCGAGGGGCGAGCAGCTTCAGGAATTCAGGCCAAGGAGGAAAAGGCGGAAGAATTTGGAGGAGCAGACAGAACGGAGGTGTGCTGAAGAGGTTGGAGGGGGGAAATGGTCCTATAAGTTGTCGTGAGCCTGGCAATGAAGGGGAGCGAGTGGAAGAGCTTCCAGAAGAAGAGACGCAATTTATATTTCGAGTCCACTAAAGGATCACTCGTTAAAATCTCGCATGTTTCTTTTTGGTACGAGTAGTAAGTACACACAAGTTCGGTAAAGCGGACCTGTCTGTCAACCAGGATGACCTCGGTGCTGCGTATCGGGTGTTGATGGATGTGGGCCACGTGGGATTTGTCAATTTTGCTCGTTCAGAGGCCTGCGATTGGCTGGTAAACACGTTTCTTCGTCAACGCCAGACCAAATCCGTCTGGCCGATCCGTCAATTTCGTTCACTCCAGTTCGTCTCCGTCTGCTTTCCTCATCCATTCCTTTTGATACTCGTGCTGGTCAAGTTCTTTCCATGGCTACCACTTACGTCTAAAGCAGGCCTTTATCACCAACGGGCCTTCGATTCTGGTCTTGCGATAGTAATAACATTAGCAGCGTTTCATGTTCGTTCAGTTCCCACGGTTTGCAAACCTCTCTCGGCGTCGCTGTTCCGCCTGATTCGCGCCTGGTCGGAATCCAAGATTCAGTTGCACGTCACAATTTTTTCATACACTAGAATATTAAGTTGATAACGGATAGAAAAGTTTTGCGAAACTTCCACGATGCGGGTTGACGTCATCATCGCCGCTTCTCTCTCAGCCGCTCTCACCTTCTTCCTCTCCCGTCGCCTCGCTCCATCCAAACCTGACTCAAAATCATCAAAGGCCGTCAACGCCGCTGTTGACGATGACGGAATTGACAGAACGCCGCCAGCCGAGCCCATCGCGTCCTTCTCATCGCCCGATATTGTCAACGTGAAATCTCTGCCACGTGTACGGTCGGAGATGGAGGTGGAGGACGAGCAGGACTATCAGTTCCTCACGGTCGCGGCGGAGGAGGCGGAGGCGGGCGCGCTGGAGAAGGACGGCGGGCCGTTCGGCGCGGTGATCGTGCGCAACGGGGAGATCGTGGCGCGCGCGCACAACGAGGTGCTGAAACACAAGGACCCCACGTGCCACGCCGAAATCATCGCCATCCAGAAGGTGCGCGACGAGCTGACCGCTTTTTCCGACAAGGTGACTGTGGTTGAGTCGACTTCTCAAACACAAGGGCCCCACGTGCCATGCGGAGATCATCGCCATTTGGAAGGTAAGGTAGCTGTTTTGAAGATCCGTCAGAAACAATCTCATGTACAATACCTGCATGTAACACGCCGAAAATGGAAACGTCTCAGGAATGAAGCTCAAAGCACAAAGACTCCACGTGCCATGCCAGACTTGGTTTTCTAAAGTCCGTCCATCTTGCATCACACTCCTGTTCCCTTTCCTCCTCCTTGCACTACTTACCCTCATAAACCACTCTACACCGCTCCAAATGCCCTCCCCTCCACCCTCCGCTCTCCATTGCCGTGGCGTCCAGGCGTGCAAGGCGCTGGGGAAGATAGAGCTGTCGGACTGTGTCATCTACTCCTCCTGCGAGCCATGCCCCATGTCCTTCGCCGCCATGTACCTCGCCCGCCTCCCGGTCAGTCACCCTCTCCTGCTTCCTGTACCAATGCTCCCTGTCTCCAATGCCCCCCACTGCTTGCTTTGCTCCCAATGCCCCATGTCCTTCGCCGCCATGTACGTCGCCTGCCTCCCGGAGAGTGAGAACTGGCTTCCATACCCTCATGCCACCTCCATACCCTCGGTGCCCCACGCCCTCGTTCACATGCCCCATGTCCCTCATACCCTCAATGCCCCATGCCATCAAGGTGCGACCTCACCTGGGTGCGACCTCACCGAAGCTCACCTCTCTCTTTTTGCTCAAGGGTATGGAGCACGGTATCTAGCTTAGCTTAGGCCAAGGCAGCGCATGGCCTGGACCCAAAGCATCGCAGCACAGCACAGGTCTCTGCAGACATGTCCCAGTCCACTCCACCCTTTTTCCCCCATGTCCCTTCACCCCGCGGCTGGTGTGCGGAGACCAGGCAGAGACACCAAACAATATGGGGCACCACGACCCTCTCTCCGTCACACCCCATCTGGGTGACAGCATGTGACTGTCAACCTCTCTCATTTTACTTCACCCTCCGTCCCTCCCTTCCTTTCCCCCACCAGCGGCTGGTGTACGGGGCACAGGCAGAGGCGGCACACGACTTGGGGTACGACCCGTCACACGTGGCAGACGCTATAAGAGGCACGGCCACGTTTCAGAAGAGCAGCTGCCGTGTCAAGCGCATCGTTTACCCCGAGGTGGCTCGCGTGTTCTGGAAGCACCGCAGCACTGTGCAGATCTACTAGGGAGCTTCTTTCTACAGTGCATGCTTTCTAGAAGCTCTTGGTGATTCTACAGTACAGACAAATCTAGCAGAAAGCTCCAATTTATACACAGTGTATTGTAAATCTACCGTATCAGTTCTTCCCCCTCTATATAGCAGTAGGCGAAGCAAATTAGCAATACAGATGGGGGGGAAAGGGGGGCAGCGGCATGCTTTGGAAAACTTAAGGCGATGAGGGTCTCTATACCTATCTGTGTCAGTATGTTCTTTGTAAGCCATCCTTGCATGATGTTTTATACGCAGCATGAGGTACGACAAAACCAGCCAACCCGAGGTCAGCATGGTAATATATCAAGTTATGTGGGTTTGAACTAGTGTTGGCGAAACCTTGAGAACAAGAATTTCGGCAAAGTCAGTGTAGCGAGAAGGAGATGGGTTGACGAGAGGGAAAGGGTACTCGCCAAACGTGAAGTGATGGTGAACGATACTGTGCAGGGCGACTGGAAAGAGTGTCGCACGGGCTGGTCTTCAGCCAATCAGGTTCAAGTACACCAAGTCCTCGCCAACTTCACTAGGGCCAATTTCACCCCCCTGTGTATTCATTTTACATTCACCCCAATTTAAGGGTTGCTTCAAACAATTTGGCTTTAAGGAAACCAAAGACCTGGACTGCGCACGAGTCAGCGGAAAAACAAAAGAAACATGGTCGCAGCGGAAGATTCAGTCTTTGCGTTGCAATCTCAACGTCAGAAGGGGCAAACATCGAAACGTCACAATGCCTCGGATAGCCTCTAGTTCGTGGGTGTCTTACCCCCTATAGCCAAATAAGGTCAGTTTGGATTGAAGGAAGAACTGACGGGGCGTGAAATTGGCGAGGACTGTGTGTAGTGGAGAATACCCATGCACAATGCAACTACTAGCAAAATCGAAAATGGGAAGCAAAAACCACCTCAGAACGAGTAAGAAGAAAAAACGCCACGATCAACCAAGCTAGGTCTACGGTTTCAGGCGCCAATGGTCGTCTAGCAGCGCGTCAACCCGCAAACTTCCTGCGCGCGCACTGGTCTGGTCGACGAGCAGCGCCCGTCTGACTTGAGCAGAGCGCGCTAGGCTTAGAGGACGACGAGCAGCGCGCGCCCCAGTCTGGTCGACGAGCAGCGCGCTTTTGGCTTGAAGAACGACGATCGGGTCCCCTCCCCTCGCCGCGCCTCCTGTCCCATCGTCACGCCTCCCCTAGTTTCTGGGAGCCTCCCCTCGTCGCGCCTCCGCTCGCCTCCCCGAGCCTCTGCTCGCCTCACCACGCCTCCGCTCGCCTCGCCGCGCCGCATCTCGGCTCACCTCCCCGCGCCTCCGCTCGCCTCGCCGCACCTCCCCTGCCATCAGCGCGTCAGCACCCTCGTCTCGCTGCCCCTCCTCGCGCCTCCAATCCCGCTGCCCTTCTCCCACCTGCCCATCCCTTGCCCTCGCTTCCCTGCCCTTCCATTCCCTCGTGTTACCTTCCCCTTTATTTTTCCCGTCTGCTTCCCCTCATTCCCCCCCCTCCTTCCCCTCATTACCCCTCCTTTTTCCCCTCATTTACCCCGCTGCCTCCCCTCGTTTCCCCCTCTGCTCTCATCGTTTCCCCCCCTTGTTCTACTCATTCCCCCCCCTCCTTCCCCTCATTTCCCTCCCAGCTTCCCCTCATCTCTCCCCCTGCTTCCCCTCATATCCCCCCCTGCTTCCCCTCATATCCCCCCCTGCTTCCCCTCATATCCCCCCCTGCTTCCCCTCATATCCCCCCCTGCTTCCCCTCATATCCCCCTTCGCTTCCCCTCATTTCCCCCCCTGCTTCCCCTCATTTCCCCCCCGGCTTCCCCTCACCCCCCCCTCCCGGTTCCCCTCATTTCCCCCGCTGTGGCCCCTCATTTCCCTACCTGCTACTCCTCTTTCCCCCCCCCTGCTTTCCCTCATTCCCCCCCCCGCTTCCCCTCATTTCCCTCCCTGCTTTCCCTCTTTTCCCTCCCTACTTCCCCTCATTTCCCTCCCTGCTTCCCCTCATTTCCCCCCTGCTTCCACTCATATCCACTCCTCCTTCCCCTCGTTTCCCCCTCTTCTTCCCCTCGTTTCACCTTCCTATCTCTCGCTTTCCCTCTCTCCCTCTTCCCTATCCTCCATCTTCCTAAGGTCCTTCGTTCCCTCTCACCCTCTTCCTATCTCCTCCTTTCCCTCACCCCCGCTCTTCCTATCCCCTTTCCCTCTCATCTCACATCGTCCTATCTCCCCCTTTCCCGTCCCCCCTGCTTCCCTCTTCCCTATCTCCCATATCTCCCCTGTTTGACTTTTCTCTTGTTCCCCCTCCCCATCCCTCGTATTCCCTCCCTCTCCCTGGCTATTGCAGTGACTACACTGAATTGTCTTCACTTAGGGTACATTCCTGCGGGGACACTTGTGTCTCAATCCCCGTTTTCCCGAGTCGCGCCTGTAAATTTGCCAAATGTTGTGTCACAAACAACCAATGTATCGCGACCCTGCGCGACAGATGGGCACAGCCAGGTGGGTGCGTACTATTGGTTGCGACCAATAGGATTGTGCCCACCCAGTTTTCCCGCCGGGCAGGGGGGCTAAACATATCGCACCACCTCGAGTATCGCGGTGGGCTTGCCACAGAAATGGAAGTTGCAATTTGGGCGAGTCGGGGCCGGTGTGGACCACCCCACACACAACAGCATGTATACAACCACGGCTCCAAGTACAAAAACGCAAGCATCACAGAGCTAAACTGCACCACTGTCTAGCAACCATGGCATCGCCCCGCGAGGTGCCATTCCTCATGCGACTACTTGTCGCATGGGTTACGTTCTACTACAGCATATTCATGGACGCCATCGCCAAGTCGGTCGGTGGCTTGCTGGAGGCGAACGTCTTCAATGACGAGGTGTCCTCGTCATCCAACTCTCGCGCCTCCAACCGTACCGCAGAGCGGAAAAGAAGGGCTGGGCTACGCCGGCGGAGATACCATTTGCTGCTAGAGGACCTGGAAGGCATGGGGCAGGATCAGTTCAGAGATATGTTTCGCATAAACCGTGGCATTCTCGAATACATTGTCGCCGGGATGACGCACTACATGCAACCGTACGTGGACAGGTACCTAATCAGTCATGAAGTGGCATGCCTTGTCCCTATCAAATACCTCGCAAGTGGCATGTCTTTCGTAGACTTGTCCTCCGTGTTCGGGCTGTCCAAGACCCTGTGCCACATGCTTGTTGACGCGCTCCTCATGCATTTCCCGTCCGTCTTCAAGCAGCAGTGGGTCCACTTCCCGACCCGCGACGACCTCGACGAGATGGCCGCAGAGTTCCGCGCCATCAAGGGGGTACCTGCGGTAGTGGGGGCTATAGACGGCACACACATACCCATGAAGGGGATGGAGGGGCACAGGCAAGAGTACTACACGCGGAAGTCCTGTTACGCCGTCTAGTTGCAGATCACATGCGACGCGCGAGGCATCATATGGGACTATTTGATCGGATACCCGGGCAGTGCGCACGATCAGAGAGTGTTCATGAACAGCGCGTTACACGAAAGGTTGCACAACGGCGACATAGCGCCATACCAAATAGTGGGAGATGCTGCCTACCCACTCAGGGACTTCTGCCTGACCCCCCTACATGCTCCCCGTGAAGGCCTAATGGAGGACTGGGAGCAGTGCTTTAACTATTGCGGGCCGCAATGACTGCAAGCTCTGGCGCATTCTTGCAGGGGCGTCTTGTGGCGTCATCCTGCACAACATGTGCGAAACGATGGGCGCAGTGAGGCACGTCAATGCATCGTGGGCAAACTTGCCCCGAAACCGGGACCCATGGTGGACTCGTGGCGCGGTAGCAGAGTTCATGTGGGAGCCATGTGACCCATGCACGCAAGAGAATCTTCGTGAAAGGCGCAAGCGGCTGGGCGAGGCTCTAGAGTCGTCTTACCTCACTCGGCGGCGCCGCGAACCCACACCTCCTCACCCGCATCTGGGTTAGAGGGGTCTTCGCCCGCCTGCCCGCGACGAAGCCAGCCGTCGTCGCCGCCTTCGGCGGCGTGCGAGTCGGTCATGTTGTCCGCGTGGCAGGGATGTCGTCGCGGACATGCGGGGAGGGTGCGGGCTGCTGCACGCGTTCGCGAGCAATACGCGCGTCCTGCTCCATCCACGCGCGGACGAGGCCTTCGAGCCTGCTCATGGCGTCTGAGTGGCAGCCTTTGATCGTCTCGCACACCAGCTTTGCAGCGGCCATCGTCGCCGTCTCTGCCACACGTGGGCGCTTCGATGTAGGAGTTCCCTGTGGCGGCGGAGCTGCACACACGGTGGATGCACACGAACAGTAGACGATGTGTTATGTACCCTAAACATTTTAATGATGCAATGTGTGCGTAAAATGTTGTCACAAGATGTGTCATTCAACAAACCCGCGAGTGCCACCGTTGATGCAACACATACATACCAGTGAATGTCGGCGTAGAGGTGCAGAGCGCCGAAGTGGACGGGACCGCGAACCCGCACGGCACGTTGACGTGTGCCGCACCGCCACCGTCGACGGCGTGAGGGTTGCCCACCGCCTTGTTGTTCTGGAAAAGCGCCATGTACGGGTACCAGTGGGGCTTGCACACGGCACCCTTGCCGCTCGCCTTTTCCCCCTTCTTGATCTGCTTGTACATGTTGACAAGATTGCGCCACTGCTTCTGAAGCGCGTTCACACCGCGCACCCACCCGGGATTCTCCTTCTCGAGGTGACGCGCGAGGCGGGCCCAGTACTGAGAGCCCTGCTTCCCAAGGAGGGGTCCGACCTCGTCCTTCATGAACCAACGCGCAGCCACGAAGATTGTGTTCTCGCGGGGGGACCACACGCTCCGCTTAACAGGATGCAAGTTACGGGTCTTGGCAGCGGCACGCGGAGGTTCCCCGCCCTTAGCAGCAGTCTTGGTTCCCGCAGCGGCAGACGCACGGCCGCGACGGGGAGCCGGGGACGCAGGCTGGGCCTCCTCGGGAGCGTCCTCGTCGTCATCGGCGTCCTCGTCGGCGTCAACTTCATCCTCGGAGGGGGACATGCCCTTGTCCTGCTCCTCGCCAGAGTCCGCGTCGTCGTGGCAGGCCTCGTCGCACTCGTAATCAGAGTCCGCGGCGTCATCATCGTTATAGAAGGCAGCATCGTCGTTGACGCGGGATGAGGCAACCCGGTCGGCATGACGGCGTCCGCGGGTAGGGACATCGCGCGGGGCTTCGAACGAGGTGTCCCTCGCACCAGGCGCTCCTTCGGGCAAAGGGCCGGCGGGCTTGCGGCCGGCCGCGATTTGCTTGTTCATCCAAGCGATGTACGGGATCTCGTCGAGCTCCCGCGGGCACAAGTCAACAGAACTAGCTACGCTCTTGCGCTTACGGGCCATGGCTACAGCGTGGAAGAAGACCCTGGCTAGACTTCGCAACAAGAAAGTGGAAGCTGGGGTTTGGAGAAGAAGAACAGATTGGAGCGGGAGTGCTGTCAGTGTGGTTGGAACGATGGGCAAACATTCGGGCAGGGATGTGACCGTGCGTGCTGAAGGACCAGTCATATGTCAGCCCGGGCAGAGCGGTTTCCATCCCCGCGCGGAAACGTGCCCAGTTCGGGCGTCCAGGTGCATGCTGTACAGTGTGAGATTTCGACACGCGTGCGATTTTCGGGATGTGATGGGGCCTCGTGTAACTCGTCCGCGACACAAGCGCAATTCACGCCAACCAATGTAAAATACAGTGGGACTCGCATTAACGCGATCCGCTTTTGTGACAGGGCACGGTATATGCTGTTTTTAGATGTCACAAAGTGATTGAGACACAAGTGTCCCCGCAGGAATGTACCCTTACTGCAACTCGCCTCAGCCCATCATCCCATGCCATGCTCGTAGAGAAACCTGTTCCCGTCATGTTTTTTTTTCAAGGCCTTGAATTGAAAAGGTACAATCAAAAGTATTAGGAACATGCCTCTATGTACCCTTCTGACACTTTTAGTGTCATTACATTTTGGAAGAAGATCTTGCACTGCAGAAACAACAGTACATATTGTGCATTTGAGATGGATATCTCCAACAGTCGCGAAGTATCATGCTTGCATACAACACACAAGAAACAGGTGGTGGTACGGTGTAAAGCATTGACTAGCTGCGCCTCAACTTGCTCCTCTGCTTCCCCACTGAAAATTAGGGGAGTGGCATAGGCAGAAAGAATATGTGGGTGGGAACATGGGTTAGGGGATGCAAGCAAGCGCACATGATGAAAGCATGTATGGGGTGACATTGATGGGTGCACATGCATGGGAACTAGAGGGCGGAAGGTGATGAGTGAGGGGGAAGGGGAGGGCATGAAAAGGAGGGGAAGGGTGAGAAGGGATGGGGAAGGGAAGGACAGGGCAGGGAGGGAAAGGCAGGGATGGGGAGGGCAGGTGGGGAACAGGGCAGAGGGTGGGGGAAGGAGGGCTGAGAAGCAGGGCGAAGGGTGGTGGGAAGCAGGGTGGAGGGAGGGGGAAAGCAGGACGGAAGGAGGGGGGAAGCAGGGCGGAGGGAGGGGGGAAGCAAGACGGAGGGAGGGGGGAAGCAGGACGGAGGGAGGGGGGAAGCAGGGCGGAGGGAGGGGGGAAGCAGGACCGAGGGTTGGGGGAAGCAGGGAGGAGGTAGGGGGGAAGCAGGGCGGACGGAGGGGGGAAGCAGGGTGGAGGGAGGGGGGAAGCAGGACGGAGGGAGGGGGGAAGCAGGGCGAAGGGAGGGGGGAAGCAGGGCGGACGGAGGGGGGAAGCAGGGTGGAGGGAGAGGGGAAGCAGGACGGAGGGAGGGGGGAAGCAGGGAGGAGGGAGGGGGGAAGCAGGGTGGAGGGAGGGGGGAAGCAGGACAGAGGGAGGGGGGAAGCAGGGCGAAGGGAGGGGGGAAGCAGGGTGGAGGGAGGGGGAAAGCTGGACGGAGGGAGGGGGGAAGCAGGGCGGAGGGAGGGGGGAAGCAAGACGGAGGGAGGGGGGAAGCAGGGAGGAAGGAGGGGGGAAGCAGGGCGGACGGAGGGGGGAAGCAGGGTGGAGGGAGGGGGGAAGCAGGACGGAGGGAGGGGGGAAGAAGGGTGGAGGGAGGGGGGAAGCAGGACGGAGGGAGGGGGGAAGCAGGGAGGAGGGAGGGGGGAAGCAAGGCGGGCGGAGGGGGGAAGCAGGGTGGAGGGAGGGGGGAAGCAGGACGGAGGGAGGGGGGAAGCAGGGTGGAGGGAGGGGGGAAGCAGGACGGAGGGAGGGGGGAAGCAGGGCGGAGGGAGGGGGGAAGCAGGACGGAGGGTTGGGGGAAGCAGGGAGGAGGTAGGGGGGAAAGCAGGGGAGGGGACGAGGGGAAGCAGGGAAGGGGATGAGGGGAAGCAGGGAAGGGGATGGGGGGAAGTAGGGAAGGGGATGGGGGGAAGCAGGGAAGGGGATGGGGGGAAGCAGGGCAGGGGATACGGGGTAAGAGGGGATAGGATGGGGGGAAGCACGGCAGGGGATACAGGAAACAGGGAAGAGGATGGGGGGAACGGGGGCAAATGCCGGGGAGAGAGCTGGGGGGAGGATGGTGGGTAGCAGAGAGGGAATCAAAACGCTGTTCGGTTGTGGTGGTGGAAGCGACCACCTTTGTTTCTCCCCATCTGTTCCTCCCCATCTGTTCCTCCCCATCTGTCCCACCCCTTCGGAAGGAATGAGGGAGGAAGGATGGGCTGGAGATGGTGAGATGGGGAGAGGGGAAGAGCGGATGGAAACGCGGATGACGAAGGGAAGCGCGAGTGACTGGGAGGCAAGCCCGACGACGGGACGCGCGGGCGACGAGGGGAGGCGAGGGCGGCGAGGGTCGGCACGGGTGATGAGGGGGAGCGCGAGCGACGAGAGGGAATGTCGGTGACCTAGGGAGGTGAGGGCGGCGAGGATCGGTATGGGTCGACGAGGGTGATGAGGGGAGCGCGGGTGACGATCTGAAGCGCGGTATGTTTACTACTAGCAATTGCGACGAGGGGATGTGTGGTTAACGTGGGAGAGCGTGGGCAACTACGAGAACATATGCGACCAGAGGGTCGGGGAGGGTAATGAGGGAAAGCGCGGGCGACGAGGAAAGCGGTCTGACGTGGGCAAGAGCGGCCGACGAGGAGGAACATGTGCGACTAACGGCTGAGTGCGTTACGCGAAGCAGTACGGCATTCGCGTGAGCGACCCGTGCCTAAAACGGTACGATCGTGACACGAGGCTGAATGGCAGCAAGTGTGACAAGATCCTGCGTGTGCGACGCGAGCTTGAATGCAAGACTCGAGTAACGCGAATCTCGTTTACTAACGTAAGTGCCGTGGGTGTACGGGTTGTAACACGAGACCGGTGACGTGAGGGAGAGATTAGAGCGTGCACTGACTAAGATGGTTGAGGTGGACTTATATTTCCTTCCGCACAAAAAAAAACACCTATCAACGACTCGCTTTTGCCAACTAGCGCTAGCTTTTGCCTTGAGCCTCCTAGCCTATGGTAAGTTCAAATGGTAAGCAAGTTATGTGAGTGGTGAATAGTACAATTGGTTGGCGATCATCGCGTCAGTTCTGGTTTTGGGCACTCGGGTTCCGTTGTCGCAGGACGATTGCCTGGGGTCGCGAGAATTTTCTCAAAACAAGTAGGGTAACCCTGTTATTGGCGACTTCAAGTTCAAGAATCTTGAACTTGAAAATAACCATGCTGTACTCGGGCTTTAATAACCAAGTAGCAGCTTGTTTGGTTTATACAATGTGGTAAGTAAGATAATTTATCTACACATCATACAGAGACTACGAATCTGCTGATGTTAGAAGCAACCAGTGAGACTATCCAGTACATCATAACATGAACTCTAACAGCTGAATACAGTACACCTTTCACTCCACATAGATAGAAAGCGTGATCTTCCCTCTCTCTACACTCGTAGCAACTCGTTCTTGGCAATGCGCATAACAAACGGCTCTCCGTCGGGCCCGATATCAGCCAGAGCCGTATCACCCTCCTCAAACGCTCCCCCCACCACTGACACGCTGCCGCCCGCCACCAGCCCTCCGCCGCTATTGGCCGACAGCACCGCCTCGCTGATCGGGTCCTCCACCAATCGCATGACGGCGCGGCGCAGTGGTCGTGCGCCGTAGGATCGGTCGTAGCCCTCGTCACAGATGCGCTGGATGAGCGCCTCTGAGACCTCCAGTCGGATGTTCTTCTCTGAGAGGCGGATAGACGTCTCCTTTATCATCATGTCCACGATTGCCCGCACCTGGAGTGAGGGGTGAGGAATGGGGGACGAGGGAAGTGAGGAGAGGTGAGAGAGGAGATTGCGCCTGCCTGAGTTGACTTATGAGTCGACTCAAAAGGGTAGGCAGCTCCATGCGCATGCAGTGCGAGGGTAGGTAGGGAGTGGCGGGCGCAGCAGGTGTGCCGCGCCCCGTAGGAGACTGTGTGTGGATGATGTTGGATTCCTCCAGGCGGATGTTTTGACTGCGGATGTTGCAGACCCAAAGGGGGCAGAAGGGAATGAAGGGAATGAGCGCATGGGAGAGAGGGAAGGTGTGCAGCTCTATGCGCACTTGGTCATGGGGAGGGTAGCATAGGTACCATACGTGGGTGAAAGGGGAAGGGGAGTCGAGAGGAGGAGGGGGGGGTGAGGGGGGCGGGGAGGTCGAGGGGGTGGGGTGAAAGCGATGGGGCATTGCACCTCCCCTGAATTTGGATGCACCCATTGCAACCCCCTCCCCCCCCCCCTCCCCATTTTCCGCCCTCCCCTCTCACCTGGTCCTCCTCGAGCGACCGGAACACCCCGGACTTGGTCAATCCGGTCTCGTCTGCCCCTGGCAGCAGAAACCCCACCCTGTTCCCTCCAAATAAGCCTTTCTCCCCTCCCCTCCACCCGTTCCCCTACCCTCCCTCTCCTCTCACCTGGTCCTTCTCCAGCGATCGGAACACGACGACTTCGTCGATGCGGTTGAGCAGCTCGGGGCGGAAGTGGCTCTTCAGCTCATCCATCACCAACGACTTCAGCCCCGCGTACCGCCCGCCGTCTGCCTCGTCCGCCCCTGGCAGCAGGAACCCCACTCTGTTGCCGCCGCCACGCGCGATCGCCTGTGACCCGACGTTGCTGGTCATGATGATGAGCGTGTTCTTGAACGACACGTGCCGGCCCTGGGAGTCCGTCAGCCTGCCGTCTTCAAAGATCTGGAACAGGAGATTAGAGATACCGGGGTGCGACAGGAGTAGACAAGAGAGACTTAGCATAATCATAAGGCCCCAATTTCCAATCAACTAGTAAGCCGGTGCTTATAAAGGCAAACGCAACAACAAGAAACCTGAAAGCCTAGCAAGACGAGACAAACCTGCAGCAGCAGATTGAAGACGTCGGGGTGCGCCTTCTCAATCTCGTCCAGCAGCAGCAGCGAGAACGGGCGGCGTCGCACGGCCTCAGTGAGTTTGCCGCCCTCCCCAAACCCCACATAGCCTGGAGGCGCGCCGATGAGCTTGCTCACTGCATGGCGCTCCATGTACTCGCTCATGTCTAGGCGGATCATGGCTTCCTCCTGGATAAAAATGGGAGGTGATGGTGGAAGGAGAGACAGTGGCAAAAGAGGGCTCGATGAGCCCACCTAGCCTGCTGACAGCATGGCGCTCCAAGTACTCGCGTTGTCTAGCCGGGAACATTCCTTCCTCCTGTAAAGAAACGGGAGGTGATCGTGGATGATGGTGGAAGGAGGGATGATGTTGCAACAGCATGGTGTTTCATGCACTCGCTCATCCTCCTGCGAAAGGGGTAACGGTGGGTGCAGGAGCTGACAGCCTCGTCCTGCCCCACCCCCCATTCCCTGCCCACTCCTGTCCCTCCCTGCGGCTGACTCACCGAGCCAAAGTAGTGCTGCGCGAGCGCCTTGCTGAGCTCCGTCTTGCCAACTCCCGTCGGCCCGCAGAACAGCATGGCCGCCGTGGGCCGCTTGGGGTCCTTCAGCCCCACTCTGGCTCGCCTCACGGCCCGGGCGATGGCGCTGACGGCCTCGTGCTGCCCCACCACCCGCGAGTGCAGCGCTGGCTCGAGAGCAGTGAGGTGGCGCTGCTCGTCTGCTGTCAGCTGCTGTAAGGGGATGCCCGTCCACTGGGACGCCACCGCTGCTATGTCCTCTGGCCCTATGGATAGTCTGGGGTGGGGGAGGAACGGGGATGGAGGGAGGGCAGGGGACAGAAGAGAGGGGGCGTTAGGGTCGGGGAAAAAAGCACCAGGTCAGTGAAGCGCCTGTGGTGGAGCCCACTCAGGAGGCGCTGCTCGTCTGCTGTGAGCTGCTGCAGGGGGACGCCCGTCCAGCGCTGCTATGTCCTCTGGCCCAACGGACAGACTGGAGTGGGGGAGGAGGGCGGGAGGGGGACGGGGGACGGAAGGGGCGAGAGGGATGGTGGTGACGAGATTGAAGGCGTAGATGCGTGGAAGCATTGGTGTGAACACAGCCGGCGTGCAGATTTCGAGTCATGCATTGCAAGATTCAGTGTGCACTCTCAGCTGCCCACCTTGACGGTACTTCCTTGTGTTTCAAGAGGCAGGCTTGCGTGGCATCAAACCTATCTACACTTGGCCCAAGGCACCTTGTGTAAGAAGTAAAGGGAGGGGAAACACAGCAGCGTACCTATCGCCATCGCCAGCAGGGGACCAGGAAGGGGCGGCAGCAGGCGCAGCAGAGGGCTTAGGATCGTCTGAGAGGAACGCTGATGGGCCGCCTGCTGACCCCAGTGGCGACTGCACCTCCTCCACCTGCCGAGAAGAGAACAAGGCCCACCGGGAGAGAGTGACAGACAAGATCGATACGTTGAAGGCCTGGATTCCGCTCTTTGCTCTACATCCGCTCTGCGCGTCGCAGCGCATCCCCCCCTTGCTGCCCCCATGGGAAGCCGCACCTCCTCCACAGTTCCTGGGCCAGACAGAAGGCGTTTGTTGAGAATTCTAAAAAAACGCTCACAGTTGCTGGGCCAACCCCTTGGTCGCTACCTACCCTTCACAAGGCTCACTCACGCCCACCAGTGCACCTCCCTTCCCCAGGGTGGCTTGTTAGGCTCACACCAAGAGGTGGCACCAGAGTTGACTCTAAGAATCGCACTCGCCTGTACCATCCCGTATCGCACCCCAGCGTTCCGCCATTCCTCAAACGCCACTCCATTCTGCGAAGGATAGCACACACACACACTTTTGAGTCGACTCAAAAGTCACCTAAACACCACCCCATTCTGCCAAGGATAGTACACACACCAAGCCCACCCTGTCCCCCACCCACCTGACTTCCTTGCACGCATGTTTCCTGCCTTACCTGCTCTGATCGCCCGGCTCGATTCCTCCGCCCCCCTCCCCATACGGCACCCGCGCATCTCCAGTTCAGCCCCTCTCCCAGTTCCTTTGATACTCCCACTCACATCACCTCACCGCAATTTGCCCCATCCCTTCTCACCGCATTGATCGCCGCCTGAGCCGCTCTGATCGCCCGCCAGTACTCCTCCGGTCCGCGGTGCAGCACGCTCGTCTCGCGCTGCCGGTTCCGCCTGAATCCGTCAATCACGGCGCGGCTCGCGGCCTCGTCCACCAGGTCGATCGCCTTGTCCGGCAGGAAGCGGTCCGGGATGTAGCGCGCCGACAGCTGGACGGCCGCGATGAGCGCGTCGTCGCTGACGTGGCACTTGTGGTGGCGCTCGTAGAGGCGGCGCAGTCCGTGCAGGATGAGCAGCGCGTCGTCCTGCGACGGCTCTGCGACGTCCACCGGCTGGAAGCGCCGCGCGAGCGCCTTGTCCTTCTCCACGTGCTTGCGGTACTCGCCTATGGTGGTCGCGCCCATGCACTGATGCGCGGAGGGGGGGGGCGACGGCGGGAGAAAAGAGGGGAGGGTAAGGAAGGGGTGAAGGTGGGGAGTGGGGGATAGGGGTGTCCAGGAGGACAGGACCACCAACAGGCTTACAGTGTGGTCAGATTATAATCAAACTTTCATACAGTCACACCCACCTGCAGCTGCCCCCACGCGAGGCGCGGCCTTGAGTGCGATTTCCAGCCCACCACCTCCCCTCGCCCGTTCCCCTTGAAGCACACCTTCGTGCACCCTTTAGAAACACAAATTCATGCAGTGCAGTCATCCCCATAAACATAGGGGTAAGTAACGGTACCTGCAGCTGGCCACGCGCGAGAGCCGGCTTGAGCAGGTTCGCGATGTCCAGCCCGCCACCTCCCCCTCCCCCCGCGCCGCGGCCGCGCGACACGGCGCCGGACCCGACAACGGTATGGATTTCGTCTATAAAGAGGATGACGTCGCCTGCGCTAGTGGCCTCCGAGACGAGCCCCGTGACGCGCGCCTCGAGCTCGCCGCGCTCCTTGGCGCCCGCGATCAGCCGCCCCATGTCCAGCGCCATCACTCGCTTACCCTGTTGGAAATAATAATAATAATAAAAAAAAACATTACATATAAAGCTCGGATGGAAACGACAATAGACACAAGAACAAACGAACAGTTTTCCCCCAAACCTGCAGGAACACCTGCAGGAGCACCGTACCTGCAGGAACACCGGGACGTCGTTCTCGGCGATGCGCAGCGCGAGGCCCTCGGCGATGGCGGTCTTGCCGACGCCCGGCTCGCCGAGCAGCAGCGGGTTGTTCTTGGTGCGGCGCGCGAGGATCTGCACGACGCGCGCCACCTCGTGGTCGCGCCCGATCACCGGATCGATGTCGCCCGTCATCGCCATAACGGTCAGATCCATGCAGAAATCCTCGAGCGCGCTCTTGTCTGCGAGGGAGGGCAGGGGGAAGGAGGGGGAAAGGGGTGAATACGGAGGAGGGGTGCCTCGGGATCTGCACCGCGCGCGCCACCTCGTGGTTGCGCCCGATCACCGGATCGATATCGCCCGCCATTGCCATCACCGTTAGGTCCACGCAAAAATCCTCCAGCGCGCTCTTGTCTGCGAGAGGAGCGAGGGGCGAGCAACGGGAGAGCAAGGGAATGAGTGAACACGGAGGGGAGAGGACGGTTGTCAGGACCCGTCCCGAGTCGCGGCCATGACTGATAATCCATGCAGAAATCCTGAAAGGGCGATCTTTTCTGGCTCCTGCCGAAACGATCTGGTGTACTGAACACCCACGCTCGGAATCTTCTGAGCCTCCGAACCTCCATCCTCCTTCTGCTTTTTAAGGATTTTCAATGACAGGTAGCCTTTAACCGAACGCGTATTCCCCGTTTCAAACATCCCCGCTTTGCGCTTCCTCGCTTCTAGCTTCCCCGCTTACCCTTCTTGGAGCCCTTCTTGCTGTAGCTGGAGGACGACGAGAGCGCGGCGGCCCTGGCGGGGTCGGGGGAAGACTTGGCGGAGGCGGCGGAGGGCTTGGCGGAGAGCGAGATGGAGTCGGTGGAGCGCCCCTCCGTCGCCAGCTCGCCCTTCAGCCGCGCCACCGCCTCCGCACGCACGCGCTCCTTGGTCACGCCCAGCCTGCGCGGAACCGACGGGGGGAAAACGGAGATTAGCTCGCGCACAACGCTCGTTACGTACGTCCAGACTGCCGCGACTAACTGACCGTAACTCACTTAGTTCAGAAAGGAATAAGCTCCAAAACGCAAGGCGTTAAGCTACAACACTTCTTGGTTCAACTTCGCCGTTCGCATCTCCCATTCACGGTTGAAACCACACGGCTGAGCGTCTGAAACAATCCCAGACTCACATCCGCGTTACAAGCGCACCTTTCAAGAAGTTTCCCGGCGGCGTCGAACTCGACGCTCAGCACCGCCATCACCAGATGCTCCGGCGCGATGAAATTGTGCCGAAGCTTCCGAGACTCTTCCAGAGCCGCCTCGAACACCCGCTTGCTCCCCGCCGAGAACGGCACCTCCGACGCGGGCTTTTCCGACCCCTCGGACGGCGAAAGCGTACCGTCGCGAATCATTTCGCGAACGGCTTCGCGAGCGCCGTCGATGGTTACACCGGTGTTGAGGTAACCCTTCGCGCTGGCGGTGCCGCTGCTGGCGCGGTCTTCCATGATAAGACCCAGGAGGAGATGCTCTGTCGCCACCTCCTTTCGCCCGAGCGCCTTCGCCTCGCGCTGACCCAGCATCACGGATTTAATCGCGCGCTCCGTGAACCGGTCGAAGACGGCGGATACCGTCGCGCGATGAGCGGAGGATGACGAGGCGGGAGCGAGCTGACGGGTGACGTTGGTAGTGAACGCGTCGGCGTGAGATACGGTGGAGGTTGACGGGAAAGTTGACGTCTGACGGAATCCGTCGTATTCGGCGGCGAGGGAGTGGGTGGCACGCGTGGCCGTGGAGCGAGGTTGGCCGGATAGTTGGTTGGTGATTCGGGAGAGCTCCAGGCGGCACGGTGGTGCGGTGCTGCTCGCAACGGACAGTGCGAAGGCCGCCATAGGTAATGAATATTCACAAGAGGTAATACAACGCAATGAAAGCGGGTGTATCTACACGCAGGAACGGAAGTATGTACTAATATGTACAAAATACACGGGTGTGGACCGGCCGGGCAGGAAGCCCTGTCAGCCACCTAAGAACTGGACAACACTAGCCGAAATGGATTCAGAGAAACGGAGATACAATGCAGGAATGACCGCATTCAGTGGAATATGTATCCATGGTGGTCTGCTGAAGGTGGTTGTTGAACAACAGTGAATGACGGGGAAGAAACAAGGCGAGGCGAGGCGGGGGTCGGGGGAAAAGAAGAGCGGGTGGGGGATATGGGGGGAGGGGAACGCGGGAGCACGGGGAAGTAATGCAGTTTGGGGGAGACTTGGGCTGGGCGTTTTGCGTGAGGGGGAAGGCAAGCAAACCGATACGCTCGGCTAGGTACGGAGAACGGGGGAAGCGGGGGATGGATGAATTTAGAAGGCCGCGCGGAGGAGACGCGGGGTAAAATGGTTTGGAAAGGGATGGAGAAAGGTTAGTATGGGTGTGGTGTGGTGAATTCTGAACAACAGAGAGAAGTGCACGCAACGGTTTGAGGGCCAGAAGAACTTGCAGCGGAAACACGCAGACCTGACTCTGGGGAATGGTGGAAAGTTTGGGGAAAGGCTTCGGGCGGGAATCGGTATCACTGGAAGAAGTAGAAGCGGTTCGACGTGTACGAGATTCTGATTGGCTGGAAACTTGGTGGAATGACGCGGAGACACGTATGATATGGTTCAGACACTGCACCAATGTTCCAGCCAAACAGCTTGACCTTCTTTGTGATACCAGACCGTGAAGTGCAGTGAAAGATTTCACGATGTGGTTATATTGTTTTTGATTAATATAATGTGGCGAAGAACTACCTTCTAAGACTTCCTGGATCCCTGGTATTCACAATGAGTTCATAATTTTTCCTGCCCAGAAAATACTTCGCTATGCCGCGTGGCAATGATTCTGGAATGAAAGAATAACCAATGAGTGCATACCCCGCCACAGACCAAATTACTTTAACCAACCACAAGCGCACTCATACAAGCTTCATGTTTTGATTGGTGAAATTTCACGTGTGAGAGATCCACGTGAGGAAGAGGCACGGTACTCACCAGGCACCACAGCACCTGTACCCGATACCGACTATTTCGCTCATTGCAAGATCATTCGACAAAAACGAATCATATAATTCACGAAAACACGGAAGTATTGATGTCGCATTGTGGGCGCGGTACACCTCTGCAGCAACTAGTATCGAGTTCCCAAATCGCGTATCCTCCATGGCTTCAGAATCCTAGGCTGATCGCGTCTAGAAGCTACTATCAGGTGGCCCTTGCTGCTGTCAGGTAGTCATGTCTTGCCTAGATCTTTTCAGGAAACTACTTCCTCTCCTCAACTTCCTCGCGTTACTTACTTCGTCCGCCTGAGTGTCATCCGCTTACAGCTTTTTTCTAGCAGACTATCCCAGTACTAGGATTTGTTTCCCAATCCATAATGGCGACGTCGTCCACGTGGCGCGTCGTCATTAGCCTGCCAAAGGCCTTCCCGCGTACGATTACCCACAAATCCTCCTGTCTCCGTGAGCAATGGCAGCTGCTACTATCGCAGCGGGCCGTCATCTCGTCAACGGCTCATTTTCCCGCCGCTCGGTCGCAATGTCACGCGCAACAGTCCGAATTTCAAGCTCCCGCCGCTCTCTGCTCCATGCACGCGTCTGGCTCGTCGCCCTACGATCCCTCGCAGCAGCAGCAGCCGTCGTTCCAACCGCGCGGCATTGCCTGGGGCACCAGCGTCGCGCGACTGACGGACCACGTCAGGTGCGATTTCAACTCAAACTGGTCTCTTTTGTGGCAGCACCTTATCCTCGCCATTTCTGAACTCCCCTGTCCTTCCCACCGCTCCCCACTCCTCCCCACCCTTCCCAGCGTCCATTTTTCTGATTCCCACGACTTCCCCGCGGTGTACGTGCCATTGTAGCAACACATTGCACATCCGTCCTTTCCATGACCCAGCTTCTGAGTCGACTCAAAAGCTTCCCCCCGTGGTGTACGTGCCATTGTAGTAACACATTACACATCCGTCCTTTCCATGACTCACCCACCACACCTCTCTCCGCCCCCCTCCCCCATTAACACCAACCCTCTCTTCCGTTGCAGTCACAGCCAGTGTCTGGTCGCCTGTAACGCGTCCCCCAGCAGCGACTTTTGAGCCGCCTCAAGAAACACACCTCTCCCCCCCATCAACACCACCCCCCTCTTCCGTTACAGTCACAGCCAGTGTCTGTTGGCCTGTAACGAGATGACTTTTGAGTCGACTCAAAAGTCTCTGGTCGCCTGTAACGCGTTCCCCCCCCTCTTCCGTTGCAGTCACAGCGAGTGTCTGGTGGCCTGTAACGCGTCCCCCAGCAGCGAGTACTCCACCAGCAGCGGCTCCGACTCGGAGGATGACGTCAGCAGGGGCGGCAAGGCGCGGCTGCCAGCGCGGATGGCGGTGAAGGCGGAGTTTCTGCAGGCGAGGGAGGCGGAGGCTGCTGTGGAGGAGGATGGGCCCATCCCGCGCATCACTGAAGGTGAGCTTGTGCAGTGTGGTGCGGTGTGGTCTGGTCTGGTCTGATCTGGTCTGGTCTCTGGGGATGAAGGCAGTGAGAGTGCACAGTGCGGTCACTCAGGAGGTCCTGAGGCGAGGATGGATAGCGGTGAAGGCGGAGTTTGTGCAGGCGAGGGACTCAGAGGCTGCCGTGGCGGACAACGGGCCGGGCCTATCCTGCGTCGCTTTTGAGAATTCTCAAAAGCGAGTTTCTGCAGGCGAGGGAGTCAGAGGCTGCTGTGGCGGACAACGGGCCGGGCCTATCCTGCGGATCACTGTAAGGTTAGACTTTGAAGGTGGGTTAGTATGGTCAGTAAGATGATACGGAGGGTGAGGTTCAGTTCATGGGATGGGAAGGTGGTGATGGAGTAACGCGGGTGTTTGCAGGCGACGGAGGCGGAGGCGACTGTGAAATTGAGGCTCGGAAGTTGAGGCTTGGCGGGTGAGGCTCGGAGGGTGAGGCTCGGAGGGTGAGGCTCGGAGGGTGAGGCTTGGAGGGTGAGGTTAGGAGCTTGAAAAGTGAGGTGTATTCTTCCCAGTCCACCCTTCCCACCCCACCCTTCCCACTCCTCCCACTCCCCCCACCGCCCCCACCCAGACAAGGTAACGCTCAGCTTCGCACGCAGCGGAGGGCCCGGAGGGCAGAACGTCAATAAGTGTGAGTCTTCATCTCGTATCGAGTACACCAAACCCGTGCTTTCTCCGTGAACCATGCTCCAGGCGCTGTTCCATCCTTGCAAGCCCCCTTATGCCAAGCCATGCACCCCCTCTGTGCGGCATATTTTCTCTGAATATACCCGACCACTTCCCATCGCCACGAGCACCCTACGCTTTCTCCCACTCTCCCTCGCCCTCCTGGTCCTTACCACATGCTTGATCCGTCAACCTCCTTACTCTACCCTCACTCTCTCCCATCGCTTTCCTCGCTCTATCTCCTCACTTCCCCCTCACTTCCTCTTCCGTCTACCCTCTCCCGCTTACCCCTCTCACGGCAGTGAACACAAAGGTGGACATGCGATTCAATGTGCTCGATGCTGATTGGCTGCCTGAGCGGATAAGATGGAAGATTCTGGAGCAGGTAAGTGCTGCTCGTGACTGGTTCCTGTAGCACTCTAAATCCAATGCCACGTGACCATTATTTTGGTTTGAGATCATGATTCCATGCGCTATCATCCCATGCCATGTGCGAACAACCCATGCCATGCCAGGTCATAACATGCTATGTGCCATCATCCCATCCAGCCATCAGCATTCCCTTCACTTCTTTTCCATCTAGTGCTTCATTTTCAGCAGCTCTTTTCACTCCCGCTCCAATCGATCAACATGCATGTGCTTCTGCAATGGCAGGAGAAGAATCGGGTCAACAGCGATGGGGAGATTGTGGTGTCGTCCACACGCACACGAACACAGAAGTATGTCGCCTGCCCATTGGTGTGTCCGTTTGAATTTGTGCATTGCTCATACGCGCATCGGTGCGACTTTTGAGAATTCTCAAATGTGCATTGCTCGGACGTGCATCTTTCCCACTGCTCACTCTGTCTGCGTCCTCTTCTTCTCTGCCCCATTCTTCTCGATCCTTCCGGTTTTCTGCTCCAACCAGGGGCAACATTGAAGATGCGCTTGCAAAGCTTCAGGTATGAGGAGCAGGTGCTCAGGTGAAGAAACAGTAGTTTCAGGTGATTCAAGACAGCTACCTATCAGGTCAGGCAGCTTCTTTGCTCGTTTCCCTCACCTTTTCTCTGTTCATCCTACTACTGTGCTCTCTCATTAAATCCGTTCATTTCAACTCACGTTTTCAGCAGTTCACGTCACCATCACCAAGTTTGCTGCTGCCGTTGCCATACTCTGTCCATATGTGGCAGAAAATCATCGATGCAGCGGCCTACGTCCCTCCACCACCATCCGAGGAGAAAAAGGCTCGCATAAAGAAGCTGTGAGTGTCCAATATGGCATGTGCTTCAAGCATGATTGTGCTTAAACAAAAACGGGTCATTATTGTGTGAATTCACATACTCTGTTGACCTGGGCTTCTGCCTGCTGTGTGCCTGGGTCCATCTCTCTCACTCCGGCTGGGTGCCTGCAGAGCCAAGGCAGAGAATGAGAGGCGGCTGCAGGACAAGAAGCTCAAGTCAAATAAGAAGTCAGACAGACGCAACAAGGGCAGCTGGGATTGAGGGCGGAGGACAGGACACTGCTGAATTCTGATATGCAGCGACATGGAGAAGGTTCACTTTTTAGTGAGTGTGTGGAAGACATCCATGCTTGGATGGTTCTTCGCTCCTTAGTTCAAGTGGGTCTGGCATGTAGGAAACCATTTTTTTGGTCAAAATTTTAATATGTACAACAGCTAGATAAGTGACATCAAAATCAGGCCTCTGGTTAGGTTTTGAGCTACTCTTTCACGTAAGGCCAACACCCCGCTTGCACTTTTTCTGAAAGGGTGCTCACAAAAACTACTCTTTCTAGTAAGGGTGCAAACACAATATGGTTTGTCTACAAGTAGCTGAACATTCAAAATTGGATAAGTTGTTGGTGTTGTAGTGAGTTGCGTGGAGGAATTTACGCGTATGACTTAAGTTAGATACTTGAAGTAGGCAAATCTGAACGAGGTAGCATTTTCCGTGAGTAATCTTACCATACTCAGTCAGATCTAACTCAATATCATCAGTGTTACTACACCACATAACTCTGAAATATCAGTGTGGTATAACCGAACACTTTTTTTTGTAAGGGTTAAAATGTTGACCACTCTGATAAAAAAGGGTGCATCGTCAAACCCAGCCTTATAGTAAGGGTCATAAGGGTGAATCACCCTGTTAACCAGAGGCCTGATCAAAACCGAAGGCCAGTCAGTAGCATGCATGCACGCATATACCCCTCAGCCTCACTAATGATCCTCAATAATGATTCTTTAATCTTGAGAGGCAGAAACGCCAACCATGCCCTTTCATCTGGTAGGGTAACCGACGAGGCAGAAGCACTCCGCACCTGTGACAGCCCCACAGCTCATGGGTCATGCATCCATAAGCAGCTTCGCAACTTGAGCTGACTAGCTGCCATTGGGACGGAATAAACGACCCTGGGAAAGAGTTATCCTTTTCTTGGCTCATTGGGCAACGAAGCGTGCACAGGCTGCTTCAATCTGCTCCAGAATCCACTGAGGCACCTCTGCGTCACTCAAGCTGCCACTGCTGCTCATGCTGCTCAGGCTGCTGTGGCGGCTTCCGTTGCTACCCCACTCATCCTCGCTATCAGAATCTGACTCGCTAGCATATGAGGCGCTCTCGGAGAAGCTCTCAACTGAACCGCCCGCAGGAGCAGCGGTGAGGTCCCGGAACCGCCACGCGGCGCCCTGCCATAGGCTTACGCCGTGGACGACGCTTCTGATAAGTCGCACGAACGAGGAAACCGCGACTCGTTCCGACGCCAGCTGCAACCTCTTCGCTTCCTTCTCAACCTTCGCCGCCATCTGAACGAAAGCCGCCTCGAGAGTGTCCAGAAGCAATGAACCGGTTTCGGCGTCGAATAGGAGCGATGCTGGTAGCGACGCGGATTCCTGCAGCCGGCGCCGGCGCTCCAGAAGCGAGTCGCCTTTCAGAGCGGAAAACGCGGAGCCGACGAAGAGGAGCGGGAGGACGAGTGACTCGAGCGTGCTGTCAGATACAAAAGGGAGGTTGCGAGACGCCGCGGCTAGAAACGCGGCGGGAGTTGCGGGGGAGGTGGCGGCGCGATACATGAGATAGTCATCAAGAGAAGGGCTATCGCCGGCTGCTGCCTGCCGCTCAACCGTCTGGTGAAGCGGCAAGCCGACGAGCGCGTACTGCTGCAGACTGCGTAGATACCGTGCCAGCCAGAACTTGATGGAACCCGCGCCTTCCTTCCGAAGCGCAGATAGCGAGTCGCAGAAGGCCTTCTTCTTCAGAGGAAACTTCGCGTCTAGCCTCCTCGGAAACGCCAGCAAATCGCCGCCAACCGCCACTTGCTGTTCGTCGCCAACCAGCCTCTCCTGAGCGCCAAACACGGACGCTAAGGCGCTAAACTCGTCTGGAGAGCCGTGGCGCTTCATCCAGTCGTCCCAGAGCAGCAGCGAGTGCAGCTGGCGGGAGATTAAGTTGCACGCCGCGCCGGACGGCGGCTGTACTGCGAGCATGGCGAGGAGCGACGGAGCCCAACCTGCGTCCGCGCAGCGGAGGGTCTGTAGCTTTGCTACGTCAGAAGAATCAGCTGCAGCTACTGCGCCGTGAGACCAGAAGCTGTGGTCGAACGGAACTGGCAGCTCCCAGGATTGCCACGTGGCGATCGAATCGACCATTTGAGATTTCCACGTGGCGGAAAGGATTCGTGCGGACGGGACTCGGGAGATCCTGTCGGCGAGGTCGGGATTAGAGAGGACTCGTGTGGGAGAGGGAGGCCTGGAAAAAAGCGTTTTGCGCGTCGCCGAGAACACTGGGACGTCGGACTCGAAATCGAAACGAGAGGTGGTGGCAACGTCGACCTGACGCGCGAGAGCGGCCATCCTTCAATCGAAAAATAAACGAGTCACAGTCTAAGACTTAGAAGCCGAAGAATCTGGCCCACGAGGAGCCGTACTGGGCCCTTGAAACCGCGAGTAAATCCTCTACTGGCGAGCTGGAAGCAAAAAATGGTCAGTTCTGATAAAGCAGTTGCACAAATCTGCCAAGATGATATACAGGGAAAGAACGATGTTCTTGGAACTGGAGCAGCGTCAGAGGCTGTGAATCAGTGGCTCAGTTCGAATCTGTCAAATTCGGAACGACGTTCGGCCAGCGCAGCAAGGAGAACAACCGCAGCCTAGAGATAAGGATGACCTGTCTAGCAGAAGCGGCAACTCCCAATGAGAATGGCTCTTGGCGCAAACTCGAGAATGGAAATGAAAATGAGCTCTCCAGGTCAGGGTTTTATGCTAGGAGAGCAACGGGCAGCCGTGAAGTGCAGTGTGGTGCAAAGGTTGCGCGTCAAGAAGTGAGCTAATTGGGCAGCTGAGAGGTTGACGGGGCACCCTTGGGAATGGTTTGGAGTGGATGAGTGTGGTTTCCGCAGTGTTTGCTCTTTATAGGGATTGGTCCGGCGTGGTAGGTTCAGGAGAGCTGGTCGCGGGAAACGGATGCGATTCATCTGGCTGTGGTTTGCTGGAGACATGCGGTTGTGGAAAGTGCGCTGCTCGTGGCGAAGTTCTTTTAACAGAGCTAGTGCGCTCCGATTGGTGGGTTACCAGAAGCGCTGTCCATGCGACGACGGCGAACGGGTTGATTGGTGCCACCTCCTACGTTTTTGCACTGTACACATGATGCTCGTTTGACTAACCCAAGGTTGCCTTGTGAAGAGGGCTTTTAAGTGATTCTGGTTATTTCGCAAACTTCGTCAACGTCGCACCTAGCAAAAAAGGGCTTATAAAAACATTGTAACTACTCGTTGACTTTTTGACTTCAGTCTCTTCAGATATTCTTTGGTTTCTGTGGTTACTAATGGTTCATAGCCAATGCAACTTGCTTGGGGTGCTTGTATCGTGGGTGCAGCTGGCTGGCGCAAAATACACGGGTGCAGACTTTCTGGCGCGTCCAGGGCAAATTCGCGCGCAGCAGTTGAGCAACATGTGTAACGAAACTGAAACAATAGATATTTTTGCGTGTCGCCAATCAGCACGAGCAAAGCTTCGTCGTGTCTCGCACGTCTCCGGATACCCAACAACCCTGTCAGTGTTGTTTGATTCAGTGAATTTGGAGGCTGAAGCACTGTGACTCGATTCACTGCATCAAGAGAAGGACTCGATCGACATGCACAGCACCTGGACACTAACAGTGAATTCTGAGCCTGTGTTTTCCAGCATGTGTACATTCGAAGTTCGCAATATGTACAATAATAATAATAGCGCAAAATCCTAAAAAACATCAAAGAAAAGCATATTCCTCCTTGTGCTGATGTGGTCTACCTTTTACACATACTTTCATGCTAAGCGCTAAATCACCAGCATGTTTCATAAACAAGTATGCACAACGCAAGGAGACACTAAGACGAACAAGGTTCTAGATTCTGCCTTGCGTATGCACAAACGTGCTGCTTCTAAATGACACACCATTCAGCTCCTCCACCACTCCTTTCAGCTCCACCATGTCTGCTGCCTTGAACCTAGCACTAGCCTGCAGCCAGTCAGCAACCTGTTTCCGCTCCCCAACCATTTGCACATCACCGTCTCGCATTCCATTTTTGTGCAGTGTCCCCTCGGACAGCTGCTTCCACCATGCGGACCATCCAGCTGTGCCCTGAGTCAAGACTCTTGAGGACTCTGAGGAGCCATTGGCCACAGCTTCTCCAGTAGTGGCGGTATTATTAGTCTTCTCAGCATCCCTGGCTTCAGCACTGTCACCTTGTGTGGAATATTTGAGACTGGAATCTATTGGAGGAGGAGGTTCGGCATCATCAGTCGATGAATTTGTGGTCATTTGACATACGAAGAAAGGACTGTCATGCAGGGCTTGTGCGAGGAACAACGAGGTGCGTCCAGAGCCAAGCACCTGGGGGCAAATGTGGCGGCAAAATGTAAAAAAAAAAACAAAAAAAAAGAATTGGAAAACGTTGGCATGGAAGTGAGGGTAGTGGCTGCAATAAGGAAAATAATGTTAGCACTCACCACAAGGACTTGTGATGGCTTCAGATTCCACTTCTTGCATGTCTCAACGAAGTCATCCACCCTGCAACCAAAATTGCATTCAGAGCGAAGGCACATGTGAGACATTGCCCACCCCAGTGTTGAAAGAAGAAAGAAGTTTGAGCTTAAATTTCACAAAAATCTACAGCATTACAATACCTCTTTCTGGCAGCTTCCAGTGAGTCGATGCCTGGCACTGCTGCTGGGGGCGACCTTAGTGCCTCGTTTGGTAATGTGCCTCCTGGTTCTGCTGCCACTCCATATGAAGACGCAGCTGTTAGTGACGGCCCTGGTGCTGATGTGGCTGACGCTGTTTGCGATGCATCTGAGGGTGAACAGGACTCAGATGGAGGGGTTGATGAGGTAGGCGTATAAGAGGAGGCAGCAGAGGCCGAAGGAGCAGCAGGAGCAGCGCCGGCAGTGACGTTGATGTGAGAGTCAAAGGAGAAGTTGCCGAGCTGGTCGTTGAGAAGCAGCACGTCAAGGCGTGGGTGGGTGGTTACCAGCGCCTGCTTCAGAGTGCGCGACTGCAGCCGTGAAGGAACACAGATGCAGGAAACAAAAAAACGCATGCACATTGAGAGATTATCACTCTGGAAATGACACGAAATAGCCATCATTTTGGGGATACGAGAGCTGTCAGATTCAGAGATATGGCCGCATCAACATCATCCCGTGCTTAAGTCTCAGTGCACCTCCTGCAGCATCTACCTTATGTGATGAGCCCCTCCCCACCAACATCCCTCTAAAACCTCACCTGGAAATGTCGGAGCAGTCTTGCAGACCCAGGAGCCACCACCCATCCCCTTCCCCTTTCAACCCCGCCAATCCCAGGCAACGCCCCTTCTCCCGTTCCCCCCAGAAGCCCCCCATCTCCACCTCCCTTCTCCGCTCTCAACCTCGCCACACGAGCGGCAGCAGCAGCAGTGCTGGCAGCAGCGGCAGCAGAGGCGACAGCAGCAGCCGCCCGGCCGAACCCGCCTCCCTGCTGCTCCCTGCGGGCCTCAGCAAGCATTTTCTTCTCCTGCAGTCGTGCAGCATACTTGGCACGCACACCCCCCCCTGTTCCCCCCGCCAACAGCTCCTCCAGCCGCTGATCTCCGCTGCTGCCTCCCTTGCCGCCCGTTCTGGGGCTCGCACCTCCTCTGAACTGCAGAGGAGAACCGCCCAGAGGAGCGGGAGTTGCTGGCTGGGGGTTCCTTGGGCTGCTGCTGCTGCTGCTGCTGTTGCTGATGCTGGCGCTGATGCTGCTGATGCTGTCTCGGGTGCCGTTGCTGCTGCTGTTGCTGTCACTGGTGCTGCGCTTGAGGCTGGTTCGAGCAGATGTGGGAAGCCCCATGCTCTCCGCCATCTCCTCCAATGAAATTCCCTGCGTGACAGCTGAAGAGGATGGCATGCCTGCCGCTGCTGACCGACCAGCACCAGCACCTGCAGCACCGGCAATACCAGAAGCTTGATGAGCACCACTGCTAGTCGCAGTGGGACTGCTGTCATTCACCCCAGGAATGTGTCGTCGTCTCCTGGGGCTACTCAGGAGAAATTTCTCCCAGTCGCGTGCAGCCAACGCAGCTCGTTCGAGCTTCTCTTGTTCGAAGTCGGATAAGCCTTGCCTCGCATCTTCGCCTGAAGCAACATTTCCACCATTGGACGCGGCGTTTTCCACGCGCCTTTGCACACCTGCTGCACTGTCTCTCGGATTTCTACTCCCAAGGTCTTGATCGAACACCATTAAAGCGGACATGTCGTAAATGATCCCACGAATCAAGAAGCGGTTCATGCCAACTCCTCTCCCGTCCCACCTGCCTTGAAGGTGATCGGCAGACCCTTGACTGCCACCAACCGAACGAGCACCCGATGGCCTCTGTCCGTACAGCTCGTCCACATGCCAGCTGGCGCGTCGCCATTGGTTCCTGATTTCCTCGAACAGACTGGGGACGTGGCGTCGGCGACGGGAACGCCGACGAGCATCGGAGCTGGAGCTGGATGAATTCGCGGGAGGTTCCGGCAGAATAAAGTCTGCCAACAGATTGACGAATGTGTGGTGGAGGCCTCTTAGCGAGATCGCGCTCCAATCGACTTCAAACGAGGATGGATCGATGTGAGACGCAACCGACGATGATGACAACTTATGGACGCGTGGGCTCGACGACGGCCGTCTGTCTCGGAGACTACCATGTCCGTCAACGGACTGGCCTCCGACCCGCTCTGATTCTTGGTAGCTGTTTCGTGAAGCAACGTCAGTAGCGCTAACGGGAGCTGTGAGGAGATGTCGTTGCAAAGGCGTCCGTGCGATCAGAGAAGTTGACGCAGAGGGATCGACGCTTCTCTGCAAGCAGCGATCGGGACGCAGAGCTCGCCTCGCGTGCCTGGCGATTCGCGACAGACCTTGAATGGACATGAGCAGAGGTTCCAGCTGCGTGCGGAGAGAGTTATCGATAGCTGGAAGTCTAGTTGTGCTTCAAAACGACTAGTGATATTGTGAAAGAGTGACAACGCGTGAAGAGCACGATACTTGAAGAAACTTTAGGTTGGAAACTGTTGGTTGCGATGCAATGCGATAGCTGCTTCAGAAGTGACAGTTGATATGCCAAGTATATTTCAGGAGCACATACTATATATTTGTAATGATCAGTTCAATCATGCCTATTGTGAGCTATGATTTGAATGTTCAAGAGTCAGATACATAGCTTCTCCAAAGCTGCATTCTCATCTCCTCCACACTTCTCCAAAGCCGACCTAGCAGACGCCTCTGGAAAGCCCATCTCTACCAGCTTCTTCACCTGCAAGAACCGGTTTAGAACAGGTTAAGCTCCCATAGATTATTCAGATAACATGCAACATGATGCAGAACCGGAATCCGGCATGATGTGAGCCACCTGAAAAGGCAACTGAGACTGACCTTGTCATCTAGAGCCAAGGATGGTCTTTTGGCAAACGCCTCTGTCCAGTACCGTGCAGTGTTGACAAACGTCTGATAATCCTTCAAATACTGCAAGAGGATAGCAGAGAGTTTCCTGTCAGATACCTCCGATCCAAGCCGCACCTACCAGATGCAAGTAACACCATCCCCCCAGTTACCCGTCCCACTTCCTCTTCCCCTTCAGAAAATTAACACGACTACCTGTTGAGCGACGATTGCATCTTGAGGGTCATCAGGTTCAGGCGATGATAACAGCGCTTGGAGTGATAATAGAGCCGTTTTGAGCGTCAAGGCAGGAGTCCACTGGTCTTTCAAGATATCCAGGCAGATCGCACCGTTTTGGCTGCTGACATTAGGGTGCCTGCCAAGCGAAAGCTCTGCCATTCCTTCAGTTTCCACTACTGCATGAAGAGATTACGACGAGAATCTTTGATTTTGGTACGCACCAGACCTTGGTAATGAAAGTCATCTTTGGAGGCTTGAACGGGTACGAGTCTGAACAGAGCCAAGTGAGTCAGAAATACAGGTGTGTGAGTGAAACGAAATAGGTGTCGCGAATCGTTGTACGAGCGGAGTACGCCGTACCTGTGAGTACTATGTCCACCAGAAACGTTCCTCCTTCGTAAGGCGTTCCGACAGGCCCCATTATAGTCCCGCTCATTCGAGCGAGATCATCTCCTGGGACATCTACAGTCACCCCCGACTCAGGATCCCGTCTAATTTCCACGAGCTCTCGTTGCACCCTTGTTCGATCCAACATCTTGGCCTAAGCGAGGTCAACGAGGTTATGAGTGAAAACAACTATACCCCTCGTTGCAATTAAGGTAACTATGTGGAGGTGACGCGATACGAGCTCTGGCCAGTCCTAGAATGGTCGAGGAGCGGGATGCCAGCTAGATGAGGAAACGAAAGAACTGAAGCTTCTGACCGCGCCCGAACACACCAACCCTGCCCTGACAACCGCCACTGGAATTTCACCAGAAGCTACCTGCATCATCTGCCAAGAAAACTAGTGAGCTGTTTGTACTCGTTTCAAGTACTCAAAAGCATATCTATAATCCCAAACCATGCTGAATCAGATATTGAAGATAGAAAAGGCTGAGACCATGTGTTGGCATTGATCACTTTGGCTGCTGTATATTCACACTGGTATTCCTCGTACAATACACGCTGCTGTAAGCAAGACTGGATAAAGCCATGTTATTAATGAAAACCAAAAAGCGAAACCAGAACATTCAACCTCCACACACTTATAAATCAGTCCATGTTCTGGGTTCGGTTCTTGGCTGATACCAGGGATCCTCTAAACCAAATCGAGTCCCATTCTAATTCACACTGCATGCGGTTGTTCCAACTGCCATGGCAAGCCCCAAACACCACAGACTATGAAGGTAGTTCAGGCCTTGCGTTGGCACTTGGAACAACTTTGGAAGAGAAAAAAAAAGGCCAGAAAGAAAAGAAACACTCTCCCTCCCACGTCCCCACACAACTAACAGCCAATCAAAGGCTGGGAAAGGACAGTGTAACGCCAGCTACAGTGACTGGGGGAGGCAGAGAATGGGTCCAGGTGCAGAGTGGTTGTGCCGGCCCTCATACGTGGTTACCACCATGGACGGGTCATGCTTGGAGCGCTCCACCTGCTTGCGCACACGGCAGTCCCCACTCGTGCACCGATAGTAGCTCCTGCGATACAAGCACATGACAGGAACAACCACGAACACACAGCAATGAGTTGGACACACTAAAGTCAGAGACAAAGCCAGGACACACAGAAGGACAGAGTCACGACAAGGGGAGGCGGAGCGCGGGGAAAGGGGGTTGTGGTGGATGGTGTGGAAGGACAGGAGAGGGGAGGAGGTTGTACCTGGCGAAGGTGTTACCGCCGACCAGCTTGTCCCCGTATTTGCGCAAGTGGTAACCATCAACCACCACATCAGCATCGCTGCGCACCGCCACCACCACCACCCTCGTAGAGCGAAAGGACAGGAGGAGGGAGGAATTACCTGGGGAAGGTGTTGCCTCCGACCAGCTTGTGGCCGTACTTGCGCCAGTGGTAACCATCATCCACCACGTCTGCATCGCTGCGCACCGCCACCACCACCCTCGGCTCCTCCACCACCTGCTGCGCACACACCATGCGCACACCTGACGGACTGCCTGGTGCAGCACCTGAAGAAACGCCTGGAGATCCGCCTGGAGTGACACGAGGAGAGAAAGCTGCTGCTCGGCCTGAGATGGTAGCTGTCCTTTGAGTAGGGCTGGTTGGGCCAGAAGTGGTACGACTGGAAGGATAGGAGGGGAACAGAAAGGAGGAAAAGAAAGGAAGGGAGGGGGGCATGCGAAGTGTGGTAGCTGAGAAAGGAGGATAAGAAAGGAAGCAAGTACGCTCCAATTGGTTCATCTACGAGTCGAGTCCGTTTCACACAGAAGGGAGAAAGCAAGAGCACAGATGAATACAGCCACGATGGTGAAAGCACAAGATCAAGAGCAGAGGACCACGTACTGCTGCTTGACTGATGCTGGCGCATCATTTGTGCAGCACGCCCATGCATCCAAGGGCCCCTCCTCCCCTCCGTCTGCTCCCCTACACGGTGACCCCTTCCTCTTATGCTCTGCCTTGGCATGGACCAACCTGCTGCTGCCATTTGGACTTGTTGGGCGGCAGACAGGTGATGAACAGTGCTGATGTGAACAGTGCACTTGTGAACAGTGCGTTGGGTGTGGGCGTGGTTGCGGTGAGTTAAAAAGCGCATCCATGCCCACAGCCAATGCCCCATTCGTTACTGTCACACTGCTTGCAGCAACTCCTCCAGTAAAGCCACGTTCGTCATCAGTCACTACGGCCTTCTCAGCGCCCTGACTGATTTCCTGGAACACCCCGTCCCATCCATACTCGTTATTGCTAGCCTCAACATCGCTCATCAGCAGCGACTCAATCATAGCAAGCGAGCAGCTGGGGCTGCTCGGCCACCCTTCGTTACAGTCACCAGTAGCTACCCACCAACTCGCTTCACCAGACACCGTCAGGGAGAGCCCTTCCTCAGATAAAGTCTCCTCAGACACACCTCCCCCAAATTCCTCAGCAGGGAGCCAGATTTTGTTGTTGATGGTGTGGTTGCTGCAATCACAATCAGTCGGGGCGTCATTTAGGAACGCATCGGAGAGCGAGAGATCAAAGAGTCCTTCAACGTCGCTGCCCATTCCAAACATTCCCCACGCCTGCTGCCCCTGCTCCTCCTTTTCCTGCTCTGCCTCATGCTCCTGCTCGTGCTGCTGCTGCTGCTGCTGCTGCTGCTGCTGCTGCAGCCAGTTCTCCAGCTCCCCCCCATGCTGCTTTTGGTCCTCGTCCACCTGCACGCGCTCGTGCCAGCCGTCTCCCATCATCCCCCACTGCTCCTGCCGGGCCTCTCCCTGCTCATCCAGTTTGGAGCACATCCCCCCCATCTGTTGGTCCAGCTCACCCCGCACAGCTGCAGCGTCTGCAGCAGCCGCAGCAGGAGGGGAAGGAGTAGGAGGATTATGATTGTGCAAACTCAGATACTTCCTCCCAAGAACCTTTCCATCTGCTGCCCGATCCTCGGTTTTCCTTGCCGGGCAGCCGGGCTGCCCGCAGCGAAAGTACAGCCTGGGCCGTGAGGAGGCTCGGATGAGCTTCTGCCCGTACTTGCGCCAGGTGAAGCCATCGTCTTCAGGGACCATCAGCACTCGGGTGCTAGCATCACACATAGAGGCAGGAGCTGGGGCAGAGGCAGAGGCGGAGAGGGGGTTACAGCTGGCAGCAGGAACGGGAGCAACAGCTGCAGCAGCAGCAGAAGCAGATGAAGCAGCAGGAGTGGGTTTGACAGCAGTAAGCGCGGTGAGAAGGCTGAGGGCGGGTATCCTAAGGAGTGGTGCTCGGTGGAGGGAGGAATGGGAGGAGGGAGACGCAGGCGACGGCAGAGACAAGGGAGCGGCAGGAGAATGAGTAGGGGAAGCAGGAGGCGGAGGAAGAAAGGTGCCCTCCTTGCTCCCTGCGCTCTCTGCACTGCACGGCTCCACAGCAGGCGTGGGGATGAAATCACCAATAGAGTCCGAGTCTGAGCCTTCCAGCATGAGGGCACGGGCAGTTACATGTGCCATGGGAGCAGCAAGGGAGGCCTGGGAGAGGGCACTGGCTCCAGAGATATTGGCACCCAGGGGTGAAGCATCAGGGGCAGCAGCAGGAGTGAGAGTACAAAGGGTGGCAGCAGAGGAAGGGGCGAGGGTGTACTTGAGCAAGGCCATGTTGCTCAGGCTGAGACCCCCCGATCTCTGCCTTTCGATACAGTCACACTGCGTCCTGCTCTTGCAATCACCCGTCATTTCCGCGGAAGGCTTCTGAACCGCTAGGATATGATGACTGCTGTAGTCATTCCCTGCATCCGTGTCACTGCCCTGCTCCTCCTGTGAAGCCCCCTTCAGAATAGTCACATCTCCTCTTGCAAAAGTTTCTCCGCCACTGCAGATTGGGCGATGGTGTTTGCTGATTGGTCCACCCACAGAGCCCACCGTCACATCCACGTCTTCTGCAAGTTTCTTTAGCCGCGCCGAGAATTGAACCCGCGCCTCCGGGCTGAAATGAGCTGGCGTTATTGAAAGTCGCTGCAGCTGTTGTGCGCTGCTCGCCACGCGGGTTGAGACACCTGACGATCGAGGCGAATCTGGCAACGAATCCGCTGCCGCCATGTCAGCAATTGACTCTCAGTTCTGGTTGAGACGTAATCCGACTTCCGAATGTTAACCTATCAGGTTCAAGTAACTGTTTCCGTTTGAAAGGACAGATGGACCGACACTAAAGTCTCTGAATTGAAGCAGATAAGTTGGCGGCAGAAACGGCGGCAACGCGTCCAGTCGCGGTCTTCGCGCAACGAGCCGGATTCTTAGTCAGGAGCCAATCGTCGACTAGCAATGATGTGATTATGTCGAAGAGGTCTGCAGCGGGGAAATCCATCGTCTGTATTCAAGGCCGGAACGCCAACCGTAGCAGGCGCTCCTTAAGGAACAAACCCGAAAAAGCGTCGAACACGGAACGGCGACAGGAAGGACTAGCAGGAGTGTATGAAAGATGAGATACCTTTCAAAAACACCCTGCGAGAAGGAATGGAATCAAGCGGTTGGTGGAACGTTGTCCTACGCAGCGGCTGCGCAGTCACGGCCTTAATTTCATATTGAAGGAGCTTGCTGCCATGCTATCCGGCGCCGGGAGAACCACATCGGGCTAGGCGATACTAATAGAATGGCTCTTTGAGCTGCTATAGAACAGGACCAGCTGACAATAGTATCCTTCAGAAAATGGAAAGGGAGACGAAATGGTCGCATCTTGGAAGCGAGCCCGGAGAGAGAGAGACGCCATTTCCAGTGGGGAAGGAAATTGAGGCGGAGGGAATTCGATGCGAATCCCCTCCTCGTCGGGCGAGATCATCGGTCACGTGGATCACCAGGTATCACGGCTGACTCGACTCGACCGGCCCGTCCTGTGTGGGTGGGGGCCACTCTGCCGCGTCGCCAGGGAGCAGTGGCTGGAAGAAGAGACACAGGTACAGCACGGTACATCCTGGTTCAATTAGGTGCAGCCGTTTACGGAAACACAGCAGTGCATACGCGAGTGAGCGTGCGTGACCCAACAGATGGGCCTTCCAGAAAAAACCTTCCCAGCGTCGCCTGTCTGCCAGTGAGGAGGAATGACTGACGTCAGTTGCGGCAATGCGGGAAGGGCATTCAAAGCGCTGCGCGATTGCTCACAACGCTAGCCGCAATTTTTTCCGCCCACTAATAGCGGCGGAGAAATGAGGAGGCGGCGGAGCGGAGAGGGTCCTCTTATCCTGGCTGGAGAGGAGGGAGCGCAGACAGACATGTTTCAAGCTTCCAGTGGAAGCCGGCGGCGGGGGAAGGTGGCAAGGAGGGCGCAAGAAAGAAGCCGCAGGGAACGCAGTTGCGCGCTCTGTTTCGTCTTTGCGTGTCGCGACGCGATACATGACTGGATTGAGGGGGTAGGCAAGGCAACGAGGTGGCTGTCTTGCGTCAGGAGCATCAAGAGAGAGGAGTGAGCTTGTGATAGAAGCCTGTAGTGCATGCCTGTCACATTTCATTCACCATTCACAAGGCAAGCACAACAGATTTCTCCATGGCAACGCTAACGCTGTGCTGTACAGCACTGCATAGCAGTGATCAATACAATACAACCGCCGCCAACCAGCAGCGCAGGGCCCAAGCAGCTCAACAGTGTTGGTCGGTGCGATGCGATGACGCTGGGAGGGGGAGGGTGGTCGTGCTCTCCTGCTGGTAGGGAATTTCGCGAGACACTTCTGGTTGTCCAGGGTTGACGAAAAGTTGCGACTGTAAACGAACAGTTACCACCGGTAAGTTTGAAATAAGTCTTATCTCAATCGTTCCAGCCATATAACTAGAAAAGGGGCATGTTGGTTGAGCTGACTTCACATGGAAAAGTAGCTTGAATGGTTTGAAAGACAACTTTATGCATGCAGAAAATGAAGCCCTTTGTAGCGATAAGCGGTTTCATTACACAATTAGAACTTATTTCTCCCAACCCTCATTAAGATAAGAATGTCCAATACATGGTTCTTAAGATGAACCTGGGAGCTCATGTGAATACATTTCCGTAGAACCCTTCAATGAAAGTGCAGATGGAGACAGTTCTTAGCGGAGTATCTGATGGATTTCAGGAGCATGCAATGATACCACCTTGTAATCTTCGCACACCGTAGTGGGATCCTCGACGCGCCTCGTCATATGTATAAACGCCATCTGCGGTATGACACCGCTTATCTATGAAGACTTCTCGCGTGAAGTGCTTAGTTGACCCAACCTCATATTATTCAAGTCATGACCCGTCACAGGGCTATTCATATAGCATGAGGACCATTGTACCTTATACTGCTCCCTATTCACTCCCATCATGCACTGCAAGTGCTCCCTCTTTCCAGTAGACGCATCGCGTCGTTGTGTTGAAAATAAAGCCTTGCTTTTCTCTGGCCGTGCCAAGACCAGTTTCGCGGTTCTTGCCGACTCTTCGCCAGTCAGCGTCTTTTCGCTTTCAAAAACCAGGTGGACAGGCTGTCAGCACGCCATGATTCTTTATAAGGTTGCGCCTCGTGGCCTGTCAGTCGAATGCGTTGTAAATAGATTATGGTCTGGCAGACGAGCCTGGAAGGAAGGGTCCAGGAATCTATTTTTGACAGCACCTGCAGCAGTGATGCCTGACGGCAGCGTGTCGCGGCAACGTCACGTGCTGACGTATCTACGGATGATGCCTGATCGGCCGAGTTCCAGCCAAGGATACTTGAGGAATGCACGCTCAGGCGCAGACGCTGAGCTTATGACACGTGGCACTACGCCAATATTTCCAGTCCATCACATGTTCAACCCCACAAGTGACTTAATATTGAAGTGTACGTTTGGAAGGGGGAAAACGATGCGGCAGAAACAGAAGAGCAGCAGGAGACACGTACATATTAGAGCGTTTCATCACATGTCGACTGGAGACGTCACGAAATCGCTGTTCCACGTCAGCAGCAACAGCCCTGACGTGTGGTGGTCCCTCCCCGACGGCATCTCCGAAAGACTGCCCTTGCCTCCTGGCCGCTGGCAGAAAATCGAGGTGCGCCGGGAGGGTTGGGAGTCCGTGGAGGTGCGGGTGGGGGTAAGTGTTGTGGGAAATGAGGGAGTACGTAGTGGGAGAGCACATTTGAGGCGTTACAAAAAGGTCGGTGCTGTGTGGGGAAAAGGGAGCGGTATGTATGGCGCTAGCTTATCCTTGAGTTAGAAGGTTCCACACATCCTGCTTCTCCTGACCTGTTGTGTTCCCATGGTCCACTGGCCGCCCCCACCATCCGCCATGCTCATCTGGTTCCCCTGGCGTTCCGTCCTTCCTGTGCTTTTCCCTGTTATGCTCTCACTCTCTAGCTCCCTCCCTGCCTCACGCTGCCCCTCCCTCCCTTGCTGTCGTTCTCGGTGCTGCTGCTGTGTTGCCTGGTCCATCCTGCCAGGAGCTATCTCATCGAATGGGGGTCCACCTATCCCCTGACCTGCTGCTGCGATGCCTGGTCAGTGCTGCTGCGTTTCCGTTCTTTTCTCCGTTTACAATTTCATTTCCTTTAGACCGAAGAGCTCATAAACTAATCCCCCTCTTGCTTCATCCCGCTCCTCTCGTCCCTCTCCCCATCCCGCTCGCCTCCCCCCATCGCACCTGCCTCTCCCCATCCCGCCCGCTTCCAACATCGCTCACCTGCTCATGCCTGGCGCTAGGAGCTCAGAACTAAACCACCACTTGCTCCATCCCGCTCGTCTCTTCCCTCTCCCCATCCCTCTCCTCTCGTCCCTCCCCCCATCCCGCCCGCCTCCCATCGCGCCAGACCCAGGACATGTACTATTACCTGCTCATGCCCGGAGCCCAATGTACTCTCAATCAGCAGCAGCAGGACGGCAGGGAGGACGGCAGCAGGGAGGACGGCAGCAGGGAGGACGAAGGCAAGAGGAGCAGTGCATCTGGTCCATCTAAATCCGACGACGAGCCCATTACGTAATTCACAGCCCACAGCCGGGTGAGGTGGAGTAAGGGCGGGATGAGGAAAGGGCGCAGGGGGGTGGTGATGGGAGGGCAAAATGGGGGTTAAGGATGGGAAGGGGGGTTTCGGGGAGGGGAGGGTGGGATTGATGGGAGGGCGATAATGGAAATGGGGAAGTAGGGAAAGGGGAGGTTGGGGAGGAAATTGCATGATGTACCTTCCTTACCTGCCTTCTCGTCTTTTCATCGCTCACCTCCTACTTAACTACCTCCTATCCTCGCCCCCCCTTGTCCCCCCTCCTTATCCCAAGCTTCTTGTACCCATCTGTTTCCGGTTCCACTGTCTGCCGGTGCTTTTCGCTGCCTTCGCACTTTCTGTTCCAATTAGCCTTCTATCCGATTTCTTCTATCGCCCGTCCTTTCTCCCCCTCCCCTCAATCCCTGCATCTGATTTCTTCTATCCTATCCTATTTCTATCCAATTTCTTCTATCGTCCATCCATTCCCCCTCTCCCCTCAATCCCTGCATCTGATTTTTTCTATCCTATTTCTATCCGATTTCAGCTGCGATCGCATCTGGAGGCGGTGGGGGACTCGGTGCTAGCACTCACGTGTGTGCTGCACCTCGTGCGCCAGCAACCACCCCTGTCCATGGTGTGTGTGTGTGTCTGTGTGCTTGCTGCGCCCCATCCTGTCCTTGGTGCTGCTGCCATGTAAATCTTCCAACTCATGTCGTCGTCCCCTACCCCCTTTCGTCTCGTCTCGTCTTGTCTCGTCTCGACTCGTCTCGTCTCGTCTGGTCTCACTTCACAGTTCTCACTTGTTCCTGTTTGGGGCGTTTTTTTCTTTTTTATTGTTTTGTTTTTCCTGCAGGGATCAACTGCCTCTCGTAACTCACTCCCTTGCTCCCGTCCTACTCCCCCCGGCCCACGCTAAACTGAAATCACTTTTGAGAATTCTCAGAATTGATTTCTTAACTCACTCCCTTGCTCCCATCCTACTCCCCCCGCCCGCCCCACGCTAAACTCTCCAGGGTGATCTCACATCACGCAAGGACAAGCTTGTAAGTCCCTCCATCCACACGCCTTTTTTCATGCCCCTCTCCTCGATACCGTTTCTTCATTCCCCTCTTTTCAAAACCCTCCCTTCACGCACCTTTTCCCATTCCCTCCCTTCAGTTTCCTTTCTTTGTTTCCCTCTCTATCGTCCCCTCTCTACTTTCATGCGTGCATGCACATCATTCCCAACCCCCTTCCCTTTCCCTGCCTCCTGCCCGCCTCTCTCCCTCCCTTCCCCGACCTCCACTCCTCGTTTGTGTCATGAGATCTCCCTGCTGCTACACTAGGTTTGTTTCTGAGCATTCTTGAAACCCCTTTCTGCTCGCCTCCCTCCCTCCCTCCCTCCCTCCCTCCCTCCCTCCCTCCCTCCCTCCCTCCCTCCCTCCCTCCCTCCCTCCCTCCCTCCCTCCCTCCCTCCCTCCCTCCCTCCCTCCCACTCTCCCGCCTCCCTGCCCCCCATGTCCACTCCTCATCCGATCCGTGTTCAGCATTTCTCCGCTCCGCATTCCTCCGCCACCCCATTCCACTTCTGCATCTCCATCTCTCTCAAACTCTCCTCCCCTATGCACTCTACCTCATTATACGAGTCCTGATTTTACTTTCCTCCTCCCATTCCTCTTCCGCAATCTTGTATCTCTTCTTCCCCCTCTTGCTCATCTTCTCTTTTTTGTCCCACTTTCCCTCCTGCTCCCCTTCTCCCCCCCGTTTCCTTCGCGCCCTTTCCCCCCTCCTGTCTCCATTCCGCCTCCTGTTCTTCCATCCTCACAGCGTTCCCCTTCCAACACCCCTGTCCATCCCCTCTCCTCCCCTCCCCTCCCCTCCCCTCCCCTCCCCTCCCCTCCCCTCCCCTCCCCTCCCCTCCCCTCCCCTCCCCTCCCCTCCCCTCCCCTCCCCTCCCTTCCCCACTCCCCACCCCGCCTCGCCCCTCTCCCCCCCGGCAGGTGAGCAACAGGAGTCTGGCGGGCATAGGAGGGGGGGCGCTGGGCCTGCCGGCAGCCATGCTGAGCTTCTCAGATGCGCTGCTCATGCAGGGCAAGCGCGCCATGCGTAAAGGGGGGGACACGGTGGAGGTATGCTCTGGGGTGGGGGTGGGGTTGGAGGAGGGGGTGGGTGGGGGTGGGGGTGTGGGAGGGGGTGGGGGTGCGGGTGCGGGTGCGGGTGTGGGTGGAGGTGAGGATGGGGGTGCGGGTGCGGGTGCGGGTGTGGGCATGTGATGATACCATGACAGGCGACTGTCTGGTGTTATGTGGTGTTACTCTGGAATAGTGGTAGCGTGTGATGTGACCAAGCAGACGTGCCTTAGAGAAGAACACTAATGATTCTTTCACCGTTTCATCTCTCTGTCTGCTTTGTGTCTGCGCATGATCCGATTTTGTATCCTTTACTGCAGTCTTCATTAGTTGCGTGCACAATGGAGGCACTTGTTGGTGCGGTTTATGCAGAAAAGGTTAGTATAACCTCGCACAATCCTCACACAATCCTCACACAATCCTCACACAATCCTCACACAATCCTCACACAATCCTCACACAATCCTCACACAATCCTCACACTACCCGCACACCACCCTCAAACCTGCCTCAGCAAGAACTCCTTTTAAGCTGGCAGCACCGCTTGCTTATCCCCGCTTGCTTATCCCCGCTTGCTTATCACCACTGATAGTACATCATGAGTATGCCGGCCAGTTCATTTGCCATCATTTGCCGTTTCGTTTGCCATTCATTTAACTTATTGCATACCTGCCCGTCACTTCCACACTTGTTCGGCCCATTCAATGCACATGCCGTCCCATCCCATCCCCATCCCCATCCAACCCCCTTTCCACTCTCCCATTCCTCCCTGTCCGCTTCCTCCTCCTCCGTCCCCTTCCCTCTCCCCGTCCCATTACCCCCACCCCGTTCCTCTCCCCCTCCCCCCATTCCCTTCCACCGCCCATTCCCCTCCACCACTTCATTCCCCTCTCCCCCCGTTCCTCTCCCCCTCCCCATTCCCTTCCCCCACGCGTCCCCCTCCCTCTCCCCATGCCCTCCGCCCTTCCCATCCGCTGCCCCCATCAGGGCCTGGAAGCAGCGTCAGCCTTTGTAACCCGCCTGCTGCCCTCGCTAGTGGACTCCCGCACCACTCTTCCCCACGCACAGAAGCTGGAGTTTGGCCATCAGTATGGGCAACAACTCGGGCATGAGCATGGGCATCAGCAGCACCAGCAGCAACAGCAGCAGCAGCGTATTCAGCCGGGCGGAGAGGGAAGTGTGACGGTGGGCGAAGCAGCAGCAGAGCAGAGCAGTAGAGTTCAGTCTGCAGCAGAGCGGAGCGACCCTCGAGTCCCAGTTGACCCCGTGGCTCGATTGCAGCAGATGTCTCTCCAGCAACTGGGGCTCATCCCACAATACCGGTGCGTGTGTGTGAACAGACTGCCGCATGTGGGCAGTGTGACAGTGGGCGAAGCAGCAGCAGTGAGGAGAGTGCAGTCTGCAGCTGAGCAGAGTGGCCCTTCAGACCCCGTGAGCAGCAGTGAGGAGAGTGACCCTTCAGACCCCATGACCCTGTGAGCTGACTTTTGAGTCGACTCAAAAGTCAACCCCGTGACCCCGTGAGCAGCGAAGCAGCAGCAGTGAGGAGAGTGCAGTCTCCAGCTGAGCAGAGTGACCCTTCAGACCCCGTGACCCTCCAGCAGCAGTCAGCAGTCCCTGTGAGCTGACTTTTGCAATCCCCGTGACTCGATTGCAAGACCCGTCTCTCCAGCAACTGGGCCTCGCGCCGCAGTACTGGTGCGTGTGTGTGAATGCACCGCTGCACGTGGGCAGTGTAAGGATGGGATGACGATGCAGCAGCAGTGGGGAGGACAGGCTGTCCGGGTGAGGGTGACCCTGTGACTCGTGTGCAATAGATGTCTCTCGTGAAAAAAGAAGAGTTTTGAGACGTCTCAAAGCACATTTGGGAATCATCCTTGAGACGAGTCACAGGGTCACCCTGTGAGTACTAATGAGCCATTTCCACGCTTCTGTAGCTGCACCTCTCTCTGTCTGCACTTCACCCCTTGCGACGGCAGTACCATTCCTGCTCCGTGCATGTGACACAGGGCTGAGGGCGGGCGCTCAATCCTCCTCAAGCACGCCCTCTCATTCTCCCTCAGGCTCACGCATTTGAATGCGCTGATTACACACACCCCCCTCGACTGCTTTGAGACGTCTCAAAATTCTCCCTCAAGCCCAGGCGTTTGAATCGGCACACACACACACACACACACACACACACACACACACACACACACACACACACACACACACACACACACACACACACACACACACCTCAACTGATTTTCTACTCACCCCCTTCCCCTGAGCGAGGAGGCACACAGGGGAAGGGCAACCCGCAGACACTGAGGTGATCTTTGAGACGCCTCACAACTCGCCCCCCCACCCCACGCCCGTCCCACCTCGTCCCCTCGCCCTCGTTCGCCCTGGCCCTGTCACCATATGAACACCCTTAAGGCGAGGAGGCACACAGGGGAAGGACAACCCGCAGACACCCCACGTGACGGAGCGAGTGCGAGTGTATACAGCATGGAGAAGGATGGGCACAGGCATGGGGGCCTCCCTGCTCGAGAGTCCTCATTCCTCCTCTATCGCGCCCTCTCCCTGTCTCTAAGTCAGTGTTGTTTGAGCCGCCTACCCCCCCTTTCCCCCCTCGCCCCCTCCCTCGCCCCCTCACATTAACACCTTTTCGCACCCAAACAGGCATACAGGGACGGACAACCCAGGGACAGCACACGTGACGGAGCGAGTGCGAGTGTATGCGGCAGGAAGAAGGATGGGCACAGGCATGGGGCCAACATTGGAGGAGGTGAAGAGAGACGGAGCAGCCAAGGCACTGCTAGCATGGGGTAAGGTGTGGTTTGGGGAGTGGGGGAGTGAGGATGCGGAGGAAGGGATGAATTGAGGGGAGAGAGAAGAGGGCGTTACACTTTGCGAGATGGAGGTGCCTTTTGAGGCGCCTCAGAAGTCGTGCGAGATGGAAGTGCTTTGCGGTAAGGTACTGTAGTTGATATCATGCTGTGGCTATTTTTGGATCTGCCTTGTGTCCAGCCCATGTGCTGCGAGATTCATGAGCGTCAAAGTGAGTTACATTCGGCACTGTAAACATGTTTACCGGGTAAACTGGGTATGATGCGAGTCCAAAATTGATTGCGAGTTACGGATAGGGTGGAGGAGTGCAATGCAAAGAGCATCCGGAAGATGGAAGATGTGTGTGGATGGAAGATGTGTGTGGATGGAAGATGTGTGTGGATGGAAGATGTGTGTGGATGTAAGATGTGTGTGGATGGAAGATGTGTCTGGATGGAAGATGTGTGTGGATGAAAGATGTGTGTGGATGGAAGATGTGTGTGGATGGAAGATGTGTGTGGATGGAAGGCGTAACCATAAGGTGGCTGGGAGGCATTAGCATGATGTGAAAGGCTGAGGTAAGCTGGATCACGGAAGGCATTAGCATAATATTCCGCACATAGGGATGGGAGGGACAGTACAACAGGCTGACGCTATTGCCATCATCCCAGAGAGACACAAGCACATATGGCTGATGCAGCAAAGCTCTTTCCACTCCACGCAACATGCAAATTACAACTACCCTAAAACAGAACGTGACTACCACCGATATGTTTCGAATCATCAAGCCATCTAATCATAAGACCATTCATGGTAACTTGGCGGTAGGTTGGAGCCGAAGCAAGGGCATGCCAACCAATCCAGCACTGCGTGTTCATACCTTGCTGAGAAACAAAGCAAGACAAATGATACATCTAATCATTTAGATATTGAGGGCCCCATATGTCCGAAAACCATGTCCTCTGCAGTTACCACCGCCCTCCCTCGCACGCAAATTGGTACGTGTTTCTGCTCGCGGCCTTTCTCCTGTGCCTTGTCCACTGGATAACTCCCACCACCAAACTGGTGGCGCATCTGCTGGTTGCTGCTGCTAGCGGTGCCGTTGATGCTGCTGCTGTTGCTGTTCCTGCAGCTGCTGTTCGCGCTGCCAGTGCTGCCGCTAAACCACCTGGCCGGAGTGCTGCTGGCTGATTCCAGGGCTTCAAATAAGGCTCGGTGATTCTCCATGGCACCCGCAGCACCTCCAGTCAGGCCGGTCCTGCCGCTGCAGGACTCCAGGTTTGCACCGCGACTCGCAGCACACCAGTTGCGGTGCATCAGGTGAGAAGAGCAGCTCTCCTGACCGGCAGCAGGCATGAATGTGTGGGCGGCGGCGGCGGCGGCGGTAACAGCAGGGTGTTTGGGATCCTCTGCGAGAGTGGGAGTATTCATTTTTCGTGTGCAGTGGCCTTTGGTTGGACAGCAAGGGCGGCGTGCTGAGTCAGCAGACGGGGATGGTGGGAGGAGCAGGGATGGGGATGAGGTATGCATGGCAGCAGAAACGAGTGGTGGGAGGGAGTGAGCATGGTTTAGGGAGTGAGGGGAGTATGTGGCAGTGGAGGCGGTAGTAGGGTGACCGCCGTTCCCACAGCAGGCGCAGGGAGTGTGGTAGAGGGATGACGAGGGGAAAGGAGACAGGAATGAAGGGTCGTGCACGCCTGCTGTGCCTGCTGAGAGCACTGAGAGTGGACCAGAGAATTCCGAGAGCGTAGAGAGTGCGCCTGAAGTTGCTGAAAACGTCCAAAGTGGACCGGAGAATGCTGAGAGCGTTGAGCAGAGTGAATCAGCTGAACGTGCAGTCACAGAGATTATCTCAATTTCAGCAGAGTTCTCATCCTCACCACGACCGGAGAAAGGGGTTCCATGATCAAGGGGAGCCGGGAGCGCCAGGGGCGGCTGGAGGAAGTACACGTGGCCGGGCTTTAAGACGTGCTGCGGACGCAGGAAGCCGTGCGATGATGCGGTCAGCGACCCCATCCGGCAGCCCGGGTGTTCCTGAAGCACGTCGCTCACACGCGTGGCCCTCCGACCCGCATCATGATTTCCGCGGGGAAATGAATCGGCGGACATTGAATTGCCGGCAACAGAATCGTGGAGAGTTGAATTGACGTCCGTCAAAGTCGAGACGCGAAATGATGGGTTTTGGGCGCCATTGTTGGCGTTCTTCCGTCCCGCAGTGAAGGTCTGACTCCCAGTCTGGCTGTGAGGGGAAGACGGCGTCTTGGCCAGCGACGTCTTGTCCTGCGATGAGCACATTGGGACGATTTGGACGGAGCCGTCTGGAAGCAGCAGAAGCGCCGGCTCGAACGTCGAGCTGCACGGGCCGAGATTAGACGGCTCCGGCCGCCGCTGCGTGTTTCGCGCGCCGCTGCTCGGCGCGCCGCGGCTGGCGCTCAGCACATCGCGCGTCAGCCATGACCATCCGGCGGAGAATTTCGGCGCGAGAGGCCGCGGCTCCGCGCTCGCCCCTGCGGAGGCATCAAGCATCCGCCGTCGCTCCGCGTCGGAAGTTGTCGCGGAGGTGGAATTGGCGAAATTTGGCGAAGAAGACGAGGCCAATCTGGTGTCGTCGCGTACGCACATGGCGGACACTTCGAAGCAACAGGCTGTCTAGAAACTCCGCAACTTTCAAAATCGGAATCGACTCGACTCGAAACCCTTCGAAAGGATGATAAGGGGTTTGTTGCCGGAGGAAGCGGGCTAACAACGCAGAGCTTCGAGCTTGCCTAAGCTTCCTCGAAGGAAGCACAGTAGGGTGGAATAAATAGGAAAGCTTCATGGCCGCATAGGCTGGTCTCCCGTCCTCCGAGCTTCGTTCCATTCCTACTGACAGCCGGCTGTCAGAGTGAGATGATGCTACAGCCACTGGCAGTATTAGCAACGGCTCGGTGGCTGCGAGGTATGGTGGTTTGACGCTATTACAGCCAGTATTGACGGCTCGATGACTTCGAGCTATGGTAATGGTGGTTTGGAGTCGCGGTTTTTGAGACAGGAGGTTTGGTTCCGTGCTTCAAGCTGGTTTGTGCGTGCCGATTCGTGCGCGAGCTGACTTCTCAGCCGTGTGCTCTTGTAGAGAGTGGATTATTTCACGTTTTGCGTGTGTGTTTGTTTTGCAGGTTTGCGGGGGGTATATTGTTCATTTTCTTGACTGCAGCCATACTCGGGCTGGGGTGTACCATCGCTTGTGCTTTGTCACGGCGTGTCGCAAAATTAAAAGATCTCTTTGGCCCACATAGATGATGTGTGACTGTACCGTATTTACTCCGTGTGAAATCGGGTTGTGAAGCGGTACCATTACAAACATTCACCTCCGACAATTTGCGTACCGTAAACGATGAAGGTGTATAAACCCTCCCCACTTTTCTTTTTTTAAATAGATTACGGGCGCGTAACTTTTTATCTTTTCGAGCTTCCGAACCGTATGCGAAAAGGGTATCCAGGTTTCGTTGAAAAACGCATGATCTGCAATTCGATAACGAGCTTGGACGGTCCGGACCGTGAGCGGGATACCCTTTTCGCACACGGTCTGGACGAAAAAAGTTACGCGCCCTAATGAATAGTTTCCCTCCCTCCAACCGCCTCCACACTGAAAAATGTTTCCCATTCCCATGACGTAACCCCAGCTCACGCCTCGTCCCCAAATTCCCGCGGCGTCGATCGCTCCTGCGTGTCGGTCTCCACCAGAGACGGAATCGAGCCGAGAGCATGTGCACGCACACACATATACACACACACACATACACACATACACACACACACACATACACACACACATACACATACACATACACACACACACATACACACACACACACACATACATACACATACACACAGACACACATACCCCTCAACTGATTTTCTACTCACCCCCTTCCCCACGCCCGTCCCACCTCGTCCCAGCACCCTTTTTCGCCCTGGCCCCATTACCATGTGAACACCTTAAAGGCGAGGAGGCACACAGGGGAAGGGCAACCCGCAGACACTGAGGTGATCTTTGAGACGCCTCACAACTCGCCCCCCCACCCCAAGCCTGTGCGCATATAATTGACCAATCATGCGCGGTCAATGAAGGTCCCGCGCATTGACGCCCGGGCATTGCAGTTTATGATCGCGGAAATATATGATCGGGCATAAATATATGGGTGCACGTGACCATTAATGGCTGCGCATGATTGGTCGATTATATGTGCGTCCAATCAGACACGGTCATATAGGGTCACGAACATGAATTTCGGATTTGAAAGATCTCGCAATAACCAATACAAAAGTTTTGAGGTTAAATACCCCTGAAGGGTAATGTGCTGTCTAAAAACAAGACGTTGAGAATTCCCTCGCGAGGCCACTCGAGCAATTATCAGTGAATTGTAGAGTCACGCGAGCAAATGGTGGCCACGTGTGCAACACTGAATCTCCAAACAAGGGTTTGGAACAAATCTCTCGGGAATGATGTTATCGCGGCGGGTAGAAAATTGTGGCGGCTCGGTTTAGTATAGACGGCATGGTGGGTGGTTTGGCGTCGTGGCCGTGGCTACTGGGACAGGAGGTTCAGTTCCGTAGCTCAAGCTGGTTTGGGTGTACAGCTCCGACAGGTGGGAAAATCTTGTCCGATTGACCATGCTTTTCTCGGTCGGACAAGCAGAAAGCATACGCGCTGATGTTCCACCGCTATGTTGTGTGTTTGTGTCCCTTGGTACACGTAACCACCGCTATTTTCTTTCGGTATATTTTCAACCCCACTTGCACAAGTGGGGTATGCACCCTTTCTAAATCTTTGACCGAGGGTTGTGTGGGGCATCATTAAATTATAGAGAGAGTCTGTTCCAGATTCCCGAAGAGATTACTGTAGAATTGCGCTATGGATTCAGATTCGCAGAATGAGTTTAAACTTCGAGCATTAGGCGTCATTCATAGCCCCAGTCATCTAATAAGTATCGAACTATATGTCTCAACCAAAGGGGGTCCGACGGTGGTCCACGGAGCGTCGACCTGACCGACGGGCAGAAAAAAACTAAA